ACGTAATCAAAATTTTGTTTTTCTTTAACCACAAACTTTTTTTGTTCATTTATTTTTTTAATGAAATGGTTTTCGAATAGCTCTGGCTTTCCGATATATTTCTGTTGCTATTTGAAATGATTAATCATTCTGTTGTGATTTTCAGAGGAAAAATTTTGTTTGCTTGCAGTACAATGTGTTCTGCTGCAGAAATGGGCGCATGTTTTCAGGATGGATTACCCTTAATACCCGAGCATCCACCCGATTTTGAGGTTTGTTCTTCTCCCTTTATTTCTTTCAATTTTCAGTTTCTAATTTCCAGACTTTATCCGCCGCTTAACTTTCATTCGTAAACATACAACATATACGCACACGGACACATACAAATACACATACATACATATACATTTAAACATAAATCCGTGCACATATGCAAATTATGCGACATATAGAAAGAAGTGATATTGGATTATACGAAAGCTGTTTATCAATAGACACGGTAATAAAGTTTGTTATCTGATTTATTATCGAATTTTGACTTCTACCACTTATACAACATTTTCTTTGAGCTTATAGTTAAATTTGTTAAACTTTTAAGTTATTTATCTCTTCTTCTTAATACATAAGTTTAAGAGTAGCATTTCAAATTATTATAGTGCAAATTATTACATGTTGTTTTGCTGTTATTTAGAAAAAGTTTTATTTACTCTCCGCCAATCTATTTTCAGTAAAAAGTGTCAAACTATATGGGAGTGTCAAGGTAACCATTTATGAAATTGGAGTTTATTTATTCTCCGCCAATCTATTTTCAGGAAAAAGTGTCAACACCGTATGGGAATGTGAAGGTAACCGTTTATGGAAATCGGCAATCAAATCCTATCGTTACATTTCACGATATGGCACTCGATTGTAAGCATATTTTCCATTACATGTAAATTCATATCATTGCTGTTTATTACTTAATGAAGAATAAAATACGGTATGACTGGATTCTAATTTTTGCTTCATACAAAATTTTTCAATGTTATTTTTTTAGCACATTTGATTTACTGTTTTTCATTTTTCTTTCATTCTCAGATTAGATCAAAGTTAAACATTGTTTTCAGCGGAAACAAATTTCCAAAATTTTTTCCAATATGCAACAGCTGGAGAATTCCTATCAAATTTCTGCATCTACAACATCAATGCTCCTGGTCAAGAAATAGATGCTGCTCCACTGCCGGACCAGTTAGTCCATTTGCTTCCTTAGGCATCCTACTGAAGCAGACCGGACGTTGTAATGTTCAATGCAAATATGCATTTGTTTTTTATTTGCTGGTAGAAATGATTTTTTCCTGACCGACTGATTTGTTTATATTACATGATGAACGAATTGGTTTAACCTACTTGCCTCTTGAATTCCATCTTTTTTTCTTGGAGGCAGCTATTGTATATTATGGATAACTGCTCGTATCGTTATACTGAGAAAGTATCTTACCTGAGTGGACTTATCGTTACTAAATGTCCTTCTAATTCATTTGTTAATTAATAATTCTTTTCAGCTATATTGTAATTTTACAGATTATCATCTTGGGTAGGCAATATCATAGGTGGAATATTAAGCTGACAATTAATTCATCAGTTCACATAAATAAATTCATCAGTTCACATAGAATTTTGAAAAATGTTTTCTGTTTCAGTTATATTTATCCGACAATGGATGGCCTCGTTCAAATTGTTGACAATTGCGTCGAACAGTTCAAGTGAGTGATTGATAATCTTTTAATCTTTTTCTCATAAATATTTTGACGTTTTGTTGTGTCATTCATTTCAAATGGTTTTTTTCAGGATTCGAGAATTTATTGGTTTAGGAGTGGGTGTGGGTGCTAATGTTATGCTACGCTATGCAGTTAGTTCTATACTTTTGTCTTGAATGTTTTCAATGCTTTTTTTCATACCTTTACTTCTCAGTCTTTAGCTGTATTGATAATAGATAACGTTCAAAATAATCCTCTAGCTAATAAAATTTGGTGGTATATTTTAGCTTCAAAATCAGTCAAAGATGGACGCATTAATACTAGTAAACTGTGTGGCAACGAGTGCAGGCTGGATCGAGTGGTTCTATCAGCAGGTTTGTTATTTTTGGTTTGCGAAATGTTTAAATTCGTAGCCATACTCATATAACATTAGCTGTTTAAGTTACACTCCCGTGTAATTAAGTATCACTCATATGATATTAACGATACAGTATATAGAGGTTTCAATTAGCTCATTTAACAAAAAATACTTTCTCTTGTTTTTAAAATAGCTTTGAATTAGCCTGGAAGTTTATAAAATCTCTTTGACTCTTTGATTCTAACTTGTTATAGGTCAATATACGTACATTGCGCGCACGCGGAATGACAAACTTTGCGGTTGACTATTTGCTGTGGCATCATTTTGGAAATCACGTCACACTAAATCCTCCCGATACTGTTCGTCGTTACCGTGCATATTTGCAGCATCTTCCAAATCCGAAGAATTTGGCCGCTTTCATCGAAGCTTATTTAAAGTATGATTGAAATGAACAGCCAACATTCTGTGTTTTGCGTTTATGTAACTTAGTATCCTTAATAGATTTAAGAGAAATACATTGTCAGTTATATATTTCACTACCTTTGGAAACGAAATTAATGTTTTCAGTCGAACACCGATAAATATCTCACGTGACGGTACAATGGGCCCAAAATTGAAGGTGCCTGTTCTGCAAATTGTAGGAGCTGATTCTGCGTTTGTTGCGGATTCGGTAGAATTGAATTCTCGATTGGATCCAGCAGATTCAGAGTGGCTCAAGGTTAGTGCTGTTTTCATTGGCATTTCCCATTGTTATATATTAATGATATTTTCATCAGTTGATTGATCACTTTTTTCTCATTTGACCTGTGCGGCGTTTTTGATATTGTAACACCTTCTATTTGTTGAAAGCTGTTTGTCGAAAAATTAAAGTAACGTTGTAATTTCTTTATAACTTAAAAATAAAATGAAATCACATATGAAGTGCAGTACATCTCGTGCAGCAGATGGGGTGGTTGATTTTAACGTAGCATTTCAGTACTCTGAGAAATTTTTTAATTATTTAGTATTGCATACGATCAATTTTTCAGCTTTCGGGATCAGGTGGACTTGTTTTGGATGATAAACCGCAAGGTGTGGCGCAAGCAATTATTTTGTTCCTACAAGGACGTGGTTTTGGTTTGTATTTTGTGCTCTAGTTTTTGATCATCATATCATCTATTTCGATATGTTTTCTAAATTTTTAGTATTTTTTAAAATTTTTTCGGCGTTGTTAGTAAAAAAATAACTGCACTAGACATATTCAGTATTAATAGCTGATAGTTATCGACTCAAGATACGATAAAATTATGTTCAACTGTTTGAGAACTCTCAAATGATCGAATCATTTGATATTAATTGGTGGTCTATTGTTAAAAATAGTGATTTCAATGATGGCTGCTTTACTATATATTGAAAGGATAAATAATTGCTCTACTTCATCTATTATGGTTCATTTGTTCATTTTTTAATTTTGTTACATTTTTTTTTTAGTCCCCACGACAAATGTGCATGATATGGTGCGTAGAATTTCGGTACAGTCGGCATTTGATGGTGGTGACGAAGCAGTAATGACATTGGAAAATGTAAACGAAACAAATTGAATGTCGAAGTTGATCAAATTTTTTTCTCAATTTCATTCAAGCGATTTTCATATTTAATCTTTTCATTATTAATTTATGTGACCTATTTATGTTGCAAACAAACAGTATTTGTTTTTTTTTTACTTTTCTTATTTTATAGTTTTGCGAATGAATCATCATTATTACATAGGATATTTATACGTTTCGCTCTAATTTATAATATTTAGTTTCTTTATGGTATCCTGAACTGATGCTATGTATTTGTATAAGATCAAACTTTGGTGAAAAATTGTTGTTCAAATTGGCTGACAATAAGAGTAATATCAGTCATATGAATCGCCATGGCAGTACGAAAGCATATTGAATACATCAGGTTAATTCATTTCTTAGTTCATCATTGTATACATTGGAGAATTTCTTATCATCTCATTAGGTGATATTGTTATTAGAATAGTTTCTTATGAATTTAAAATTTATAAATGTAAAGATACAGCTGCTGTTGCACACATGAATTATCTGATTAATTGGTAGTACCTGACCATGTCCTAATAGTACAAATACCGTATACTTTTATATGAGTGAAGTTCGCTTTTGTAAATTGTTCGCTATATCACGATTTTGTGCTACTTCAACATTCTTACATTGAATATCCGGTGAAGCAGTATTGGTTTATCTCCCATTTATTTCAGTTTTCGCTTTTATTGTTTCAACGAGATACTTTCGTAGTTTTAATTACTTCAACTGGTCCCAGATATAACTGTACGATCTCTTTTCTTTCTCTGGTTTCTTACTCGTTTATTTCATTTTTTCCTATACTTTATAAGTTATGTTATATCATAACTGCACCTTACCATCCCTACTTATAATGTATATTGGAAAAATTCTCGACTATCAATTTTTCATCACGTTTTCTTCATCACCGTACTTTTCACTCCATATGATCATCCCTTTTTATGTCTGCTATTTCTGTATTATTTACTTCTTTTAACACAATTTTGACAAAATGTAGGCTATACATACCTCTCTCTTACTCCATGTATATATATGTGCATTCATCTCTCACATAATGTGTCATTCATCTCTCACATAATCGATGACCAGTTTTGTAATTAATTTTGTATTGGGAAATTGACATAAAAGTAATTTATTCTCACTGAACACACATGAAAACTTTAGTAAAAAACTGCTACAAAGAGTCCGGTTAAGTGGCATGGTTTGAATTTTAGTTTAAACGAAGTACGCGGCTTAAAATTCCCGTGTGGCGAGAGAGTAGTCTGAATTGAGTTCACACGCTCGTGGGGACAATCGCACTCAGCCCAGCTAGTACCGGTACCGTGGTTCAAACCCAGCACCAACGCCACAATCGCATCAAGTTCCCCAACGGTGGGAAACCGTCTTGTGCTCAGGGCGATTGACACCGAGGGAGTTTCTGGTACGGTACCACGACGGTTTGCATCGTTCCCCAGCTAGAGGATGCAGACCGCCCAAGCGGTCGGGACCTAATCTCAGACCTTCCCAGGAGCAATGATGAGCGATGAAACGCCCGCGCGTCACTCCTTTCGTCACCTTATCACCACACTGGGACATCCGCCCACGCGGACATTATATAGTGAATAGGTTACGGGGTGCATTTAATACTAAGTTGTTTGCAGTAGAGATACAGACAATACTCTCTCATCGCTAGGTTGTTGATGCAACATGTAACCTCCTTTGCATCTCATGTCAAAATATTCATCCCATCTTATGCATTTTCCCCGAAATAGTCCCTGGGAAGCTAAGTGGATAAGAGATACTCCCGCAACTGGAGAAATTACGTGGGGAACCACGGAATCCGGTAAACAAGAACGAAGGAAACAACTGACAATATTAATATTGTTACTGATCGATGATAAAAAGAACATTTTTCGGGTTTCTGCTTCAAATAATACGAAACTATTTTGATTTGACTGGTTGATATCACAAAACCTGATACCACTACTTAATCAACTTATTTGAGTTAGCTTTACGCCTACCTATTTTCTCAGTAAAGAATTATTAGCGTATCTTATAATTATTTGTTGCTCAATTTCACGTTATCTTTTAACGTAATATATTTTCTTATTCTAATCTATAAAGCAGTCTTATTGTATACGGAGCAATAAATATTAATTTAATGATTTCAAATTAGACATTAATCATTTCAAAAGAGTTTTCAGGATGTTGAAGGAATCGCGGATTTTCCGGATTGTCACAACTGGAGATGTGTGATAGCGAAGCTAATGATATCTTTCTAGAAAATATTTAATTAATAATCTTACAGATACTATTAAATTGAGTTAGGGTCAACTTTAATTAAAAAGTGTTATAAATCAAAAATAGAAATATTAGTCATTTCCGGGTATTTCTTCAGTAGTTTCTCTTTCTCGGGAAAAATCAAAGAACTGAAACGGATAAAAAAGGTAGAAGTTTCATTAAACAAGTAAGGATGGGAAAAGAGAATTCAGGAAAGGTTAAGTTAAAACCTGATCATACAATAATTGATCATCATCAAGGAATGCTAGCGAACATTTTTTAAAGCTTTCCAGCTTGGCCGGAATTGAAACAGAAATGGAAAATGAACGGTGTGAAAATATCAATTCCCTATTTATCTAAAGTTTATTGGTTACTCAAATAATTTCAGAAACTGAGTTTTATTTTATATGACATTCTGTATTGATTAACTCAGTCAATTAATTAAATTCGGAAAAAAGGATTGCCATTTTGATTTTATATTTATTGATCCGTTCGAATAATTAAATACTTTTATATATCTATCCTTTGATTTATCGCTTTGCTCAAACAATTATTTTAAAAATTAAACTTATTTTTACATTGAAAGGTTCCACCATAGTAAATGATATTTATAAACTACTTCTTCATCATTTTGTTTAGAACTCGAAATCGTATTCAATAATTTATTAACAATAATTATTGAATTACTATCAAAACTATCAGGATGATCGAAGTGATTATCATTTATGGCTAACAAAGAAAGCATTTGATTGGATTTTAATACTTAAGCAATTGTTAGACGATGAATAATTATTATTCCAGAAACTGAATAATGAATAATTCCAGAAATTGAGTTGTTGTGAAGCTTTGATTATTTGATAAATAACTATTGAAACTTTATTTGTTGAAATGTTAAAAATGAAAAAGTGGCGAAATGAAAAGAGATGAATTACTTTTGAACTTATATCACTAAACAATTTAAATTTGATAAATTTAAAAAAAAATCAATTTTTTTAAAGTTTTTTAATAATGGGATAAACATACTGAAAATAATGCAATACAAATAGAAAAGCAAAACATTTCAATTCTTATTTCAATAATCAGTGATTAATAATATACAGTAACCTTTGGATATATACAGTAATCGTTTTGGATTTTTTACCGTTTTTTTTGCTCAAAATATTTATGAATTTCTATAAATAGTAATAGATTTAAAATTTAAGCTTCATACCTTAGAATATTCATTAGTTAGTAATACTAAAATTAACGTCCGCTATCAGTGAATAATTTGCAACGAAATATCAAATATATGCAACGAAATTTTCAAAGATATTAATGATAGTAGTAAATGAGAATTATGAAGCAAAAAAAAGTAGAAGTTATCCCAATTTAAATATTACTATCATTTGGAAGACATAAATTTACTGATATGAATTCCAGATTCTATGACCAAATGTATGTATTATTATTTTACATTGAGAATCCATGCAAATCTAAATTTAAATCTATATACTAAGCATATGATAACAATTCTGTATATTGTATTATCGAATATATATATGAAGGAGATGGAGAGTAATTGACTTAGCCGATATTTTCTATTTTAGTTTATAACATCGAGAAGAATAAATCTCTCCATCAAATAATCAAGGCTTCACTACAATTCGGTTGTTATATATATATATATATATATATATATATAATGCATATTTAATAAAAATCCAATTTTTAGTCCTTCTAATCCAACGTTTCAAGCACCATCCAAAAATCGCATTTAGTACATAAGAAAGCTTTACTTGGATGTTTAAGAGATGTACCAAATAATTATCTCCATAATGGTTTTTACTTGAAAAACAATGTTTGCAAATATTTCTACTTGATTGCTAGTGGAAACTATCTTTAATGATTTACTCGAATTTCACACAGATCTCTTCATGGTCTGAAATTTAACTCATTTCACGGTTTGCCGTATACTGAAAAAGCCATTTGGGGGGCGGGCAACTGTCATTTTTCATTTTTTTGGTTTCATGTTTTGTGGTGTGAGGTCTTAGCTTTTTATAAAAAGTTTGTTCATTTCATTTCTTCCTAAATTTTCTTTACTTTCAATAATAACTATAAATTTCATCGTTTATGTGTGAATTGATATTGTTAGTTTTGATGTTAAAATGAGTGTATAGAAATGAATAATGCTTAATTTCAGGAAGAATAATTGTAACTGCCAGAAATATTGGCTTCAAAGTGTCAGTTTTGATGAGTACTTAAATCTTGTTGATTTCAACTAGAGGAACAGTGAAGAAAACTATGGAAACGGAGGTTATAAGAGCGTTTAATGCTGAGGTATGATCTATAAATTATTGCTAGTAGTAGTATCATTTTGTTTATGATGTCGAAACGGCTTGTACTGTCATTTAATGATACTGTGGTAAAAATGATAATGTCATTCAAAATTCTAGAATGGGAGATCACCTCTTGCAGCGTAGGACAGAGCATATTGTTATGTCGTATTGATCGTTTCAAATTTAAATTTCTTTTCCAGCATCGTTTTGCATGTTATAAACACACTGACTATATTACTAAAGCTTTAACTTATAAATCAATGGTAATACTGTCCACATTATTTAATGGTATCACTTCGGGTATATATCTTGCAACAAAAGGATTTGCTGGAACTAGCGGGATTGAATTAATAATTATATATATAGTATAATATGAAACGGAAAACAAATTTTTTCAGTTGGTGTCTTTATACGAATTAAGACCACCGATAAGTAAGAAAAAGATTGTGGATATTACAAAGGCAGCAATGAAAGCTATCAAATATTACAAACATGTTGTGTTTGGAGTCGAAAAGTTTTTGATGAAGGTTATAGAATTAAAAATTTTTTTTTGATGAAGATGGTAGAATTTAATATTTGTCAAGGCATTTGTGACGTTTGCTGTTCTAAAGAGCTATAAAATGAGTGCAGAATCTGAAGACATTTTCTTGACTTAAGGAAGTGAATCGTCGACGCAAATCTGAACCATTTAATATATCGGATCATCCGCTATCATTTTTTCGTTCAACGAATTGACATTTTTCAGTTTCCTTTTAGTAGCTATTTTCATTTTCAGTGCAAAACAGAATATAAGATACCTGGCCTGTATTGTATCGATTCTATAATACGGCAATCGCGTCATCAATTCAAAGACAAGGATGTTTTTGGTCCACGGTTTGCGATCAATATGCAAGCAACTCTTTCAAATTTGTTGAATTGTAAGGCTGATGATAAGGTTATTCATTGATTTTTAATTTATTTTAATACATAAGTTATTAGGAAAGGCATCATACTATATGACTGCTCTTCCTTTTTGTGTTCTTTGTTGCTATGCTTTTACTTATAATGAATTTTTTTCGGGCAATAGCTCGACAAACTTTTTTTCTAACTGTTGAAGTATTATATTTCATAAATTTATTACTCTTTATCTTATATTTGCGTTATTTCTAATTGTATTGGTTATAGTTGAAAGTGGTCCGAGTTTTAAATTTATGGAAAAGTCATGAAATATTCGATACAGCGAAGTTACGACCATGGTTGGAGTACTGCCGAGATGTTCATGGACTTGGTTTCTTTTTCTTTTTGTAGACTATCATGTTTTTTTTGAAATCTTAATACCAAAGATTATCATGTTATATAACTGTTCTCAGTTATGTCATTGTCGTTAAATCAAGAACGGTAGAGTGAATTGTTAAATCATATTTTTAATTTCAGTATCGTGTGATGCGTATTTTATGATGTTGGAAAAAAGTCTCCTGCGGGACAAGATAGTTAGTAAAGAAACAATTTTGGAAATAAGCAAAATCATATAACGAATAAGTACTTTGAAGTGTTATAAAGTAAAATTATGAATGCTAGTGAGGATATTTTGCAGAAATAGATGTTGTGACCGTAGAAAAAAGTGTAAAAGGCGATCAGGCAGACTTTTCAATATACAGTCGCGTCCTTAATCGTGGTGAAAAGCGAAAAGTAATGGAATCACACACTCCATTATCTGTATGTTGGCGATTATTTTTTCAGAAATGAAGTTGAATTATATGCCCGCTTCTTAATTCAAACATTATCAAGCATAAGTGGCAAAATGCAATATTTAAAGAAATTTTTGGAAGAATTTCGAGATTTTACCATAAATTTTAGGGGAACCGGTCACGTACACCACCTTTGCCTTTGCGTGAGCCAAGTGATGATGCTGCAGAAGGAGGTGTAAGTGAGCGTGAAACGCTTGCGATGCTAACTACAATGGGTTTGGATCTTGGCGGAATGTTTACTTCCGATTCATCATTATTGCAGAGGGTCAATAAATTAGTCAATGATAAACTTATTGAACGTCGAGAATTGGATTCGAAAAGACAGGGAAATATTAAGGTTTTTTTCATTTTCATGAGAGTTTATTTATAACGTACACCAGGAAAACTTTGTAGGGTAAATTCTAGTATTACTGAAATGTGAAATAAGTTAGTTTTTTGTCACAAATTATATTATTCTCTATCGAATACTTGTCATGGTGATTACTGCCATAAACTTCTCTGCAAATAAAATAATGTATAAGGTGGTAAGTTGGTATTCTAATTCATCTTTTTCAGAATCTCCTTTCCAAAGAATTCGATTATAGCGATGAAGATGATAGCGGTGACGATGATTTTGGTCGCAAGCTAGAGATAGAAGCGAAACCTACTGAACTAACAAAACAACAAATTATAGGGTAATAGTTGATTTTTATGTAAATAACATTTTGTAATGATCAGGGTTAAAGATTTGTAATTTTGGTCCAAGAAATAACTGGAAAGATGACGGGTAAATGATAGAGACATTGAGCGTATTAAGAAAGCAGTGAATATATTACTCTAAGAATGACTGAACATCACACTCGAAGTAAACTGATTTGTATCTATGACTATTGGCTGGAAAGAGTATAGCGCTCAATTGATCTTATAGGAATAGTCAATTTTCAAAGGCATTTCGCTGAGAGGATCTGAAATTATTGTAAAAATACATTATATTATGTTGCAGTATGGCAGAAGCAGTTCTTCGAGAGCCTGATACTAAAGAAGAAATACAACGTATGCATACGGAACGAATTTCGGCTTTGTCCCAAGCAGCTGTAGCTAGGGTACAAGCTGTTAAGCAACAGCAGCAACAGCAAGAACAACAACAACAACAACAGCAGAGTAGTATTCCAACTGCAGTTCGTACGTTGCCAACCCAGCCGGGAGCACCACCAATTACGATTCCGTTAAATCCAATCACCGCCTCACAAGCAAACATTGCGACTATCCCTCCACTTTCGATTCCGATGCCAGGTCAATCTTTGCAGCCTCAGACAGCAACAAACATGCTATCACCTAGATCAGCACAACAGTTTGTAAGTTTAGAATCATTCTTCCTGATCCTAGTCCTTTGTTTATTTTTTATAGGAGAATTTGACTTTTTTTTCAGACCCATTAATTAACCCAGAGAAATCTTTGACCTAAAAAAAAGCGGTATGAAGTAAATGGTATTATACATGCTTGGAATGAATATATCTGCATTTGTTTTTATGGAATCCGGAAAACAGTTCCATAAATTCTTTTCTTTCATGCTAAAAGATTTCGATACATTGTATAGAAGCATGGGAAACTCTCATTTATCACAATTTCAATGATGATAAGATTATAATCGTGATATGGAAAAATCAAATTTTTGACGTTAGCATCATAAACCTTCTTTAGAAGCTATGTCACTTATCAGCCATTTCAGTTACTTAATACGGGCGGATTAGCTGCGTTTGCGCCAAGTATGCCACCGCCAAATATTCTGAGTGTGATGCCTCCGCAGATCCCTACTTCGATACCTAGTGGAATGCCACTTACAGGTGCTGCGAATACCGGCAGTCGAGATCGTAATGATGTTGATCAGGTTTTTCTTATTTTTATTTCATTTGGAGTAGTTTTCTTATCACTTTCATGAGCATAATCTTTTTCCGAAAGTTTTAGAGACAAAAAGAAAAAAATTGACACCTCCGATCGTTTATTCTGTGGTACCAGAGTAGCTCCTCTTTTTCAACTTTTTTCTTTATGGTATGCAATAATAGACTTCCGCATATGCGTCCGCTGCATCATAATACTTATGCTCTAGGATGATCGCTATCGCAGAGAAGGAGATGATAGATTTGATAGTGATCGAGATGAGCGGTTGAGGCGAGGTCATGGCAGAAGTGATAGATTTAGTGAAAAGAATGATAAAGGTCAAGAACGGCGGCGCGGTCGTTCAAGGTACCTTTCATCTTATTTATGATATGTACTGTTTGCTTAAAACAGAACGGCACATAATTAATATTTTCATAAGTTTTTTTTTCTCGGAATAATTCATATTTTAACATTAGCATACTCTACATATATAATAATTATGAAGAGATCGTGAACATGAGGGTAGAGGGAACAGTCGTGGCTTTGGGGATCCGCACTCAAAACGGCCGCGACGTAGTCGATCTCGCGATCAAGGCTTTGGAGATCGTAGAAGGGAACATCGACGTAGCAACAGTCGTGGACGAAGAGGTTTGTCTCGCGGACATCTTGACAGGGAGCGATCAGAACGTGACCATAACAATCCAGCAGTAAGTTTTGTTATCTAAAAAGTAGCGCTGGTTAAAATTTTCTCTCATAATCACTTGTTGACCGAAAAACATTTTATTATGATATTTAGTATGTTTGATTTCAGCACATAATATTGCAGTGTACATAAGTTTTTTTCGTGTTGCAATGACGGATAGCATTTTTCAATTATATGGAATGCTTTTTTAAAAAAATGCGTTCAGAATTTAAACAAAGGTTTATGTGTAGTAATCGAACACTTTTTACTCTTTCGAATATTTGCAGTATAAAGATTTGGAGCGGCTGCGTCGAAAAATGGGACTTCCATGGCCGCCAAAAGAAGGACATCTGCTAAGTGAGTTATTGTAGAATTGTAGTTTTTGCTGCACTTATCTTTCACATTATGTCGAAAATCTATATAGATAAGTGAAGGAGAATACGTGAGTTTAATCTAACATTGGGAGGTCTAGAACTTTCAGTTGAGGATAATTCAAATTTGCCAGTGACATGGCTGAAAAATCAAGTCATTCCAGTTTCATCTTCATTTTATGGTTTACCAATTTCTGCTCATATATAAGCAGTTATCTTAGTTTGAAAAATACGGAATAGTTGTATTACGAAGCTTCCAAAATATACCCTTTTTTCTACATTTTTTTAAATTTTTGTTTTGTCAGTCGGTAACAATACGTATTGTTAGAATCGGATTAATCCAACTGCTTTATAAAATTAATTTTTGAAATTCTCATCGAAATCAATCAGTTGTCATGGTCCATATATTTACAGTAGCGTCATGTACACTGTGGTTGGGGAGGATTCCTTCGAACTGTACGGAAAATGAAATTCGTCAGGCAGTAGCTGAAGCCGGAGAACCATCACGCATTAGCATTATACATTCCCGTGCATGTGCATATGTTACGATGAAAGATAGAAAAGCAGCATTTCGGGTAATGGATCGGATGCAGAAAAATTTCAAAATCGGAGAGAAGAATGTCAAAGTAAGTTGTGAATATTAAATAAATAGGTTATGATTAACTTCTACTTTTGCCTGATAAAATATATTTAATTTGACTGGAAAGACGCATGCCTGGAAATCTGTAGTAATGCAGTTTTTAAAGGTATAGCTTATGGTTGTTTTTTCTTCAAAAGATCTTCAATTTAAATTTCTTTCTTTGGATTTGTCTTTTTTTTCTTTTTTAGTTGAATTGGGGGATTGGACAAGGTTTGAAAGGTGAAAGATACGCAGAATATTGGGATCCTGACCGAGGTTACTCACTGATTCCACATTTTGCACTACCTGGTGATTTAGAACCTCTAATAGAAGGAGGTCATCTTGAAGTGGAATCGTTGCCTGCTCATCTTGCAGGTAAGTTAAATATTTGATTAATCTTTTCATCTATTTATCTTAATTTGACTAAATTAAAGTTTATTTTAAGTGAAAAATTGACTTGAAGTAAAGTAGAAAAATAAATTTGTTGAAAACTGTTACAGATTTGTATGATGAACATGGATTGAAAGGAAAGCAACGTGAGCAGGATTCAACATCCATTCAAAGCACTTCGAATATTCAATTGCCACAAGTAGCTCCAAATATGCCTTCGTATCAGTTTCCTCGTAAGTTATTCTGAGAAGAAATAATAATTTCATTAATTATGTAATAATTGAGATTCATTTTCAGTTTTCTGCTTTCCAGCCATAATACTTCATTAGATTTATTCTCTAAGTGATCTTTTTCATGACAGATATTTTGAATTATATTGAAATTTAGGAGTTTGTGGATTAATAGATTTTTGAAAACCGCTGCATTCTTTTTTTGTTTCCTCTTGAACTTTCAGTGGGCCAACCGCCTCGATTACCCGGCGCTGCTCCGTTCCTGCCTCATGGAATGGTGCCAATTCCTGGTATTTTTCCGCCTGGTCTACCTCCTCAACTTGGAAGTGTTCCACTGGCTGGTTCTGCACCAACTCCGAAACCACAGAACTGTGTACCAACTGATGCCGAAGGAACGAATGCTTTATCCACTCCTCCGCAGGCATGATTTTATTATGGTTAGCAATGTTAACAGCCAATGAAAACTCATGCAATTTGAGGAATGAAATATTTTTTTTACCAAATTCAAATGCACATTTTATTTTATATTATAGTAACGGATTAAATACCTAATTAAGAAATAATGCTGCAAAACACAATTGTTATGCAAATCTTAACATAATTCTACTTTTTGAGTATCTTTTAACAGCAAGAAGGGGCATTTTTTTTTTTGAATTAATGGCAGTGTTTAAGAAGTTTTTCATGCACTATTAATGTTTTTTATATTGCAGACTAGTTTATTTTATTTCAGGCTGCTGTCAATGCAATGAATGTAGAAAGGATGCGTGTTCCAGGCTATTTTTTAATAGATTTTTTCTCTTAGTATTCTTTCCTAGCTATGCACTCACTGTGCCTATAAAAGGATGCAATAGTCTTTAGAACTTCAGCTCTTAGAAGCATAAAGCTCGAAATAGCGTTTGACACCAATTAAATCAAGTGTAGCACAAATTAAATTACCCATAAATTTAATATTTTGATCTTTCTTGGTTGATAATGAGTTTCTGATTTAGAACCTACTAAGATTGGAAAGTTTGCACGAATATATTTCTTTGCAATCACATAGGAATAAAAATTTCAGGACCGAATGCATTCATGTCTTCTAGTTACAATATGCCACCTCCCAGGTACAATGCCTCTTGTGGAACTCTAAATTTGAGAGCAAATCGACCGGGAGTATTTTCTGGAAGGTCTGTTTTCAATGACATTTGTTCCTCTTCTGGTGGCTCTAATACTGTTTGTGTGATTCGAAATATTTGGTCACGAAATATTTTTTAGTTCAAAATGAAATCCTCACACTGCGCGTTTTTCACTGTTTGTACTTTACTGCAAATATCTCTATCTGTGTGTTTGTTCCTTGCAGATCACCGTTTTCACCCTTCCGCGGAGGACCGCCTTTCGCAGGAGCTCCAATTAGAGGGGTATGTGTTCTTTGTAATTATATCATTTTCCATTATACTAATTTTAGTCTTCATACTTCCTGGAGGGTTTAACTGTATTGTTGATATTTAAAGATTTTTATAATTAAATTATTTTGATTTGAATGTAATATTTTTCATTAATGTGTTTTAGGTGCTGCGAACACCGCTACCGCTGATGCATTCGCCAGGGGTAGGAAGAGGACTGCGAAATCTTTATCCACCGCGACATTTTCCACCCCCTTTGTTAGCTAATAATTCCGGTATGAGTTAAGTGATGTTTTTCAGTCATGAAATATCTTGCCTTTGTTATAATATAGAATTATTGATAAAAACAACAATTGATGCTAATAGTATGCATTTGATAAAAAATGTTGCAGTTTAAGATACCAAGTAGCCTTATTTTGTATATTGTCATGCCGCAATATGCATTTGTGCACTGAAAAGTTTTTCTTTTGCTTGTTTTACATTCATTTTTGGTGAATTAAGCGCTTAATACAAGAGTTATCACTAAGAATGAAACCTCTGGAAGAAAATTTATGTGCGATTTTGTATGCTCCTGAATCTAAGAAGCTCACATCGAAAATTATAAAGAAAACAAAATTCAGAAAAATATTTCCACAAAAGTATTATATTATATTCAAACATAATCGAAAAAAAAACTCACAGTTTTTAATTTTATCAGTGTTTCAGATGGTTACAAAAGTACACAGGAGAATCGATGGCGGAGTAGTGAGCCAAAAGACGGGCATATTGACAATTCTAGGCACGATGAATGGGATAACAATGCCATGGTACCGTCTAGCAGTCATGAGGAATACTCACAACCCGAATCAACCAAAATTGGTAACTTTCGTTTATACCAAACTTAAATCGGGCATTCTATTTTTTTCTGGAATTTCAAAACGCATGGATTTGGGATAATATTATTGCATGTTAGCTAACAACGATGAAGGTGGGTAAAAAGATAAGTGTTTGAGTTCGGGCTATTTAATAGCTATTATCTTGAGCTATTTTTTGGAATGCCGATAAACCGATATACGGTCATGTGCACTTCCATCGCAACAAATAATTTCGTTGAATATTACAGCAATTATTTTCTAGATATTGTTCACAGTAGTTGTAATCGTGGATGATGCATGATATAGTGATATTTAAGATATATTCTGTGATAGAAATGAGTTTTTCGCTTGAATTGAGCTATGTAGTATCATGATGAGGTCACTTATTGGTTTAAATTCAGAAAAACGGATAACAAAAAGGACTGAGATGGATGACTCGAGTAATGAACCCGTGACATCGACTACTCATGACGATGAAAGCGCTGCAGTAAGTGGCACTGTCGAGACTTTAACATCCGAGGTAAAATTACTGGTTGATACAAGCGTGGTGCCAAACAATGATGATTTGAAGGTAAACACTTTTTCCTTCCATATGATTTTGGTGCCAAACAAAAAAATTTGGAATTTCCTGATTGTAACATGAAATTTGATAAAAATATACATATGATTGTAACATGAAATTTGATAAAAATATGCATATGCAATATATGTTGTTAATGTTATAGTACTGTAGATCTTTTAGTTGCTACATCTCATATGTGACATGGTTAGTTTCATTTGCAAAGAAGACACGATTTAGCATAACTGATCCTGGTTAATTGGATTTGAATTCATGAAGTTTTTACATATTTTTTTCTCAAGGCATCATTACAGTGTCATATCTTAAATGTAAGAAATTTTCAATGGAGTAGAAACTGTTTGCATATATCTCATATATAAAAACATTTAAAAGCATGATATTACTTTTAAACAATGTTCATCTTATGGCACTTTTAATAAGAGTATTGTAAAAATTTCTAAGGATTTTGAATCATGAATTTTTATTGGCTAACATTCTACTTTTTAACTGAGCGATTGTAATTGCATGAGACCAAGTATGAAGGCTGAAGCTAGGGCGTTGTTATCATCTCCTGTTTGCTTAGCTTTTAAATAAGAATAAGACGTTATAGATATTGCGCAACTAATATTAGTTGTCAATTATTAATTAGAAATTTTGACGAAAAGAGAGACTTTTTTAATTGCAGCTATTTTTTGGACTGTGCTCCAGAGATTGAAGACTGATTAAAACTTCTACTTGTTTATCATTGTTTTATCTTGTAGGCTGTAACGATGAACGAGGACAGAATGTTAGAACAAGCAATTGTTTATGGTGATGATGAAGAATAGTGTTCTTTCATTAATATATGTTAAAGTTGCATTTTGTGCAAAAGTGATCTTAGTTGTCGTGTTGCTAAATTAAGCATGACTTATTGTTTTAGTTTTAAGAAATAAAATTCAGACTATGTTATAGAGGTAGTTTGTAAAAAAGGAAGGAAGGAAGGTAAAAAAAAATTGGATGTTTGAGAGGTGAGGAATTTTGAATCTTTGAAATTGTTTCAGAAAAACGAAGCGGTTTTCAGATTTTAAATTTTAAATTTAAAATAGCAGAAAAGACTTTGCTTCAACTTTATTAAATTCCTCAATCTCAATATCGCTATAAGCAGTACGTAATGGTTGTTTGATCTTAAAGTGTTTCTCTGATAATAAAAGTATAACTGAATGCATGGAAAGCTATTTTTTTCCGATATTTGCATTTTCGATCACTCATCAAATGTTTCCTGAAATTCGACTTTGTTGCCGAATGTTGAAATCTCATAACGTCGTTATTTCATTATCCATTGGTGATGTCTTTGAATAATTTGTTGTTTATTATTATTATTTTTTCTTAATATTATCATAAATGTTCAACAAGTATTATTATTACTGTTCAACATTGACTATTATTATTATTACTAATGTTCAACAACTTTTGTCCATTCATTTGTCGATTGTTTTCATTGATTAGTTATCTCTTCACAACTATTGCTTTCTTCAAACAATTTATGCAGCAGCTGTTTTTGATACAGAAAATAAAAATTGAAACATTTTTGACTGCAAATTCGAAAATTCTCATTTACAATTCGTTATTTTTTAAGTTGGAAGTAATTATTATCTGATTATAATAATTGTTATTATCTGATTATTTGTAACGATCGTTACTTATTTCTGCTAGCTATGGAAATGTACGTGTTATGCCAGTAATTCATTCTATGAGGATATTCTTTTATGGTTTTGTTTAATTTTTCTATATTTCACCTATCGTTGATAGTCTGTACTTATAATATTTCCTATGAAATGACGGGATGATTTAAATTATACTATTAAGAAATAATAAGTAAGAATTAACTACTCATGTTTTTTAAATCAATTTTTGCCATTAATTATTTATATTAATCCCTTAAAAAAAAAGAATCTAGTTGAATGATCTAGTTGGAATGATATCTATTGCATATTTGTAACTTTCAAACTGACTGAACTTTTCAATTTGAATAATTTATGTAACGAAGAAGCAGTTTGTAGGATGCAATGGAAATCGATTAAAATTAAATTTTATCATAACAATAAATGCGAGCAATATTTGATGAGATCATTTGTTATGAAAAAGATACACAATAAATTCAGATATAATGAAAATCTAATTTGCACAACAATTAAGATTTGTCATAACCATCGGTTAATTAGTTAGATAAAGAAAATTAAATGAATAAAGCGAAATGAAGCCAATTGGGATGATTATTTTAAAAGTCACTTGGGATTATAAAATTTTAATGAACTAAAATTTTTCTGAAAAAAGTATGACAAAATCATTTTAATCATGCATTTGGTCACATTGCACTCATAAACAATAATAAGGATAATGAAAATAATTAACAATAATAATAATAATAGCAACAATAATAATAATAGCGGTGATAAATAATAATAAGAATAATAATCATTATTATTGCTCATAATTATTTGTAATAATAAATAGTAATAAATAAATAAATGATAATAATAATAATAATAACGATAATAAATGGCAATGAAGGACGAAGAATAACAATAATAATACCTAAAAAAAATGGAAGAAGAAAAAGGAAAGCATTTCTATAATTTATGCAATTAACAATAAAATAGTCAGCCCTCAATTAATCATTCATTTAAAGATACATACAATATTTTCTCTGAATTAATAATTTTCATTCATTTAAATTAAAATTTAAATTCATTTAAAATGATGTGAACGTCTTTATTTCCTTTTTCGATTACATTTAAACTTACACTTCAAATATTTAAAGAAATTTCTTATAATTTTCCATAAAATAATTATGTTGAAATTACTTCACTCTATTTTAAAGTCTAATAAATAAATTAAAATGAAATAAATAAACAAAAACAGAAAATCGAAAATTTTTATTACATTTTCTTTTTATTTGTTAATTCTGTAATTTGCATCAATTAACAATATTTAATTAATTACAGATTGAATAACAGAAGATGTTTACAAGCATATGTTATTTCAAATTTCAATTTTTTTTTTTTGTACAGTTTAATAAGTATGATTTTAGTTGAAATAATTAATTTCATCAACTATCCATGCATTGTTGATTTATGACGATAAACAATGGCATTCTTTGTTGATAATGATGATAATGATGGTGGTGATAATGATGAAGCAAAAGCATTTTGTGAATGTCTATTCTTATGTATTCGAGAAATGCTTTCACTTTTTGGTCGATTAGTAACATAATCAACTGCAATACCTTCCAATGCATATTCATAATCATCTCGCATTAATCCGCCTAAATAAATTTCAATATAATCCATTTAAAAGGTTTGTAGTTATTTGAAACTGCCTGGTTGTTAGGCCTTTTTTTGCACAAAGTTTTATATGGCCCTTGAAATAGTTCCAATTTTGCGATTTGAAAGTTTCTTTTTAGTGTAAACAAAATTAATGAAAGTTTCTTTTTTTCTTTTTATATGAAAACGATTGTTTTAATGAATTATTTTTAATGAATTAAATTTAAAATTAATATTTAATAGAATTGAATAAGAAGAAATTTTTTCGTTATTTTATTTATTTAAATTTGATGAAAATTTGGCGAAGCATTGAAATTTAAATTTCTTTTCTTTAATTCAATTTTAAATTCAATAAAATATGATAGACTTTCAAATTATTCGCAATCATTTGCAACGAAAAAGATTTCTAACTCAGATTAGATCGATTGCAATACTTAGATCGATCGCAGTATTCGAAGATTTTTATGGTACAAATTAAAATTATTACTTCATTAAAACAATCAATCAGTCAGTGAGCGATAATTTTATGTTGAAATAAATATGAGATTGTTCAGTCTTTCTTGATATTATTGAAATAATCAAAATTTTAACTTTGGTTGTGATCAAACTTCTCGAGGAAACTATAATTTCTAATCAATGAATTTATCATTCAAATTTTATTTAAGTTAAATTTGATGATTGATTATTAGTGATACTACAATTTGATATGGAATTTATTGGTTTAAAAGTAATGGAAGAAGAGAATAATAATTGATAAAATGAGTAATCAAATGACATACCGGTTTCATATGATCGGCCTACTGTCAGCAAACCAAAATACGATAAAATAATCAAGCAGAACAATAATGATTTTCGATTCAAATACATTATTAGTTTTTCGTTATTTCTGTGACAAAAGAAAAGAGGATAAATCAATGCATTGAAATTAATATTAATAATGGCAAGTTGGAGATAATATGAAATTGAAGTAAATTAGGAATCATTTAAATGAATGAATTCATAATTTGAATTCATAATCTCTAATGAATCCATAATTTCATTCGAATGTAATTATGAATTCATTTGAGCCTAAGTAATAAATGTGACAGATATCAGAGATATTCTTCCTTTGATGATAATAGAAATATGGAATATTTTTTCTTGAATGTGATAAAAAAATACGAACAATTTTGGAATGTTAACTATTATCAAAATTATACATAGCTGATAATCATCCAAGGATAATTTATTATTATCGACTTCAAAATATCTATGATAATATTGAAGGGTAGTTTCGATCATAGTAACATGGCGAGAAGCTTACGAAAGATAATCAGAATTTCCATAATCTTCTCGTCGTGTTATCATTAAAACTATTCTTAGACGGAAGAAATACTTAAAGAGGAATCTGAAAAAAGTTTAAAGAGAATCTTGGATAAACAGTCTGATACCTTTTAGCATAGGTGGAAAAGTTGAAAAAATAGAACGTAGCATGTAGTTTGATCATAATCTCATTTGATGACCTATCTAAGCTATTGCTTTGACCTCGACAATTAAACCCGTAAGTAAGGGTATTGTTTAAAAGGAATAAAGAAATTAGAGGAATTGATGAATTATCAAAATAAATGCAAATTGTTAGTAAAATTGAAAATTTTAACTATTTAATTAGAGGACTCCACCCATTCGCACCAATCTACCGATCCATTCAATCGGTACTACCTTTTGATAATTTCTCGTTGACAGAATCTTCTTCCAACTCTCCCGCCCTCTCTTTTCCATCTCCTGCTTCTCGGATATGTCACACCTCTCCGGTTAACTCCACCTTTCATACCGATTTATCATTTTCCATAAATCACAAAAATAAGCTAATAGATAATTTTTGAATGACAAGCATTTTTAAAAGTTTATATACTTACTTATTTATCATCTTTTTTTTCTCCATTCATTTATTTATTCATTTATATCAATCATTCAACTATTTATCACTTAATTGCATCAATCTCGAGAAAATGATTGACCTATTCTCCTGATTTTAAGGACCTGTGACCTGGTATTTAAAAAGGAAATGAAGAATGTTAATTGAAAAGTGCAAAATATTTCCATTTAAAAATATGTTAAAAGAAGTTGAAAGGCAATATTGATGTTGATGTTCCTTTTAATAAATAATCACTTTTATATCGTATCGGACCAGCGGTCTGATCGGTGGCCTTTCGTTGCAAATACAACGATTAAATAGTCTTTTTTTTATTTCTTACTACTCTCATTTTTAAGAATAATATTTTCAAATTTTCTCAATAAAAATGACTTTAGAAAAAAATCAACATGTAAAATCCGCTGAATAGTTATCTCACTGATTAATATAAAAATTATCATTATAATATATAATATTTATGTTTGCTTATTTTCCTAATTTACAGTTCGCTATTATCATTGCTTTCTTTAAAATGAGCCGATGATGGAATACGGAATTCAATTTCAAAAATGTGCTAAAAAAATCAATAAATTAATTTATTTGTAATTTTAAATTAGCGAATACTAATTGTTTTATTATGAATATCATTACCAAAATATTCCGAAAAAGTTTTAGGAATTAATAATCGAATTAGTTTGTGAATTGTTACTATTATGAGATCTCTAGAAAAGTACTAAAAATTCGGGATAGAAGTAGTATTTATGATTTTTAAATAACGAATACTAATTACCATCATTGATTATAAAGTTTTGATTTTTAAATAACAAATACTAATTATTATCATTAATTATAAAGTTTTAATTTCTAAATAACGAATACTATTTACCATTATTAATTATAAAGTTTTCCAGAAAAAATTCCATGCCAGAATAATATACTGTTATTTCAATGATAAAAATATGCTGATATGATGGGAATTCTTGATCGCTTTATTTATTTTATCCATTTAACCAACTTCAGTGGTGTATAAATGTTGAATTTCGTATTTGTTATTTTTGAAAAAAATTTCACTGATGATATTTCATTTCTTACCGTTCACATTTTCCACCACTGATCGAAAGAGACATATAAGTGACACTTTTTTCTATTTACCAATTAATAACATTTTACATGTGACCTTTCTTGGCTATCCTTATATGACCTTTAAAATATTCTATTTCACTTGTCTCTTTTCCTAAAAAAAAAATTCTACGTTCTACCGCACGTTTTACTTCTTTAACAGATTAAATCAAATAACAAAATGATTGGATGGATTAATTTCAGCTAAATTTTTAAATAGCTAAAGTTATGAACTTCTTCTCCTAAGATAAATATTTGACACACGCAATTATGCAAACATCAATCGGCACATTATGATTGAATGAACGTTCCGGTATATGACAAAAATAAGAGAATGATTGTGACAAATGAATATGGTTGTCTTTCATCAAAATTTTTTGAAATTATTTTTTTCGCAAAATTCTTTGATATTTACCTGTTTGAATTGAACAAAATATTCTTATAAAATTCACAAAAATATTTTTGCATAATTAATGTAAATGTGACTTTAATTAATTAATTAATTTTCTTTTCCTTAAAATCATTGCAAACTTAACAATACAAAATTACATTGCTTTCAATAAATATAACCTAATATTTAAAAAATTATTCTTCTAAATTGAAAAGAAAATTACTAGCTAATTACTTTAATTAATTTCAATTTAATTCATTTTGCTAAAAAAAAAAGAAAAAAATGAAAAATGATTTGAAAGAAAAAAAAATTCATAGTCTGGCCTCGAAAAACGAAAAAAAAGTGTAGTAATTTGCAGTAAAATGTTGTAAAACGTTGCAAAATGTTATCAAAAATGATTAGAAAAAGATGGATTTTGTGTAAAATATTTATAAGAAAATTGCAATGTTTAAAACAATCAAAAAAAAAAATTGGGAAGATAATAAATTTTGTTAATTTTTTTAATTTCTCGAAGATAATATCAACGATTATTTACAGTAATAGTTGTTAAGTTTTACTTATTTGTAGAAAATGAAGGAATTTCAGAGAAGAGAAAAAGTGAACGAATTTTTTCATTTAAATTTCATTTAATAAATTTAAATGAAAAAAAAATTTTATTAATTATTAGTTTTTATTAATAATTAATTAGCTTATTATTCATTAGCTTATTCAAATTTCTTTATCTTGTTGTTATCAAATTTAAATAATAAATGTTACAAAAGAAATTTTCTATTTATTGATTGAAAATAAGCAACAATTGGTTGAATTCAATAGTAATAACTTTTATGCAAATTCGACTTGATTATTATACCGTTTTAATTATTTATGTATTTACAATTATTTACGTCAATTTCTGAATGAAAAAATTCCGATGATAAGATTCAATTTTCATCACTCTTCAGCTTCAAATAATTTCTAAATAGATTCAGAATGCATGACAATTCTAAATGTAAGAAAGTGTATGATAATTCGGAATCTTAGAATTGCACGAGAAATGTATGAAGTGCAATAACAATCTTCATGTAATTTTTTTCAAACAAGATTTAATGGAAATTTTTTTCTGAAATTTCCTAAAAGAATCATAAATGTACAAATTGCATAATAATCTTCCACGTAATTTCCACGTATGTCACGTAATTTTTAAACAAAATAATGTCACATAATTTTTAAACAAAGTAATGTCATGTAATTTTTAAGCGAAGTAATGTCACGTAATTTTTCAACGAAACCTATTATGAACTAAACGTATCATTCGTACGTTATTTTTCTCTTCTTCCGTCTAAAAGAAAAAAAGTAAAGAGCGTAATAAACTTACAATGAAAAAGAAAGAATGGATGAATGAAAGTATGAAAATAGTGTCAGTATAATTTACTACAATTTTACAATTTGTCAATCTGTCAACAACTTTCTCTTTCCTTTTCATTACTCTTTTGAACTTTTTTCCTTTCTCTCCCTTTACTCTTTCCTTTTAATTAATAACTTTTCCAAATATGTCATCACATTTTGCACTTTCTCCTTTATCCTTTATAATAATTTGGCGCAAATATCTCTTGTAATTTGTTAAATATTTATTAATTATTTCATTCCATTATTTTTTCATTTAACAATTACAAATAAAATTCAAGGTATTACTTTAAAATTTATGCATATATTATCTTAATTAAGTAAATAATTAGCAAAAATCATTAGCTTTTATTCTTAAAAGATTAATTATATTTTATTGAAATTTAAATTGTTTAACAAATTTATTTAAATTATTCGAATTACTATTTTCTTTTGAAAAAAATTGGAAAGAAAAGAAATTAATAAAAGATAAAATTATAAATTTTAATTTCATCGCTAATTATTTCTTTCATTAATTAAATTACTCATAATTAATTTAGACGAAAGCAATTCATTAATTTCAATTCATTTAAATTAGTTACACACTATTTGGATTAAATTAAAATTTAGGCGTGAAATTTTTGGAACACATATCATACAAATTATACAACAATTAAATTACTACGAAAAAATTTCGTTCGTTCGAACATTTCAAAAATACGACCAAAAATTTTTATTCGATGAAATGAAAGGGAGAGAAAGGGAGAGAGAGAGGAAAAAAAAAGTGTCGAAAACGACCATGAAATTTGTCCTTGCTAGTTGAATTTTTGGCATTTTGCCTTTCGGATATTTGTCATCATTCACGTGTCCTTGGTGTCACCATGGATTCATTCACTTTATTTCCATCGTTGGAGGGGAAGTAAATTTTGAATTTTAATTTTTTTTCCTTAAAATCCAAAAAAAAAAGGAGAAAAGCGAAAAGATTACAATCAACTTAATGGTAAAACGATATTTCTTACAACAATGTTAATGACATTAATACAGAATAAATAAAGTTGAAACAATAGGAAATATTAATTTAATAATTTTAAATTTATTATTTATTGATTCTGATAATGTAATTGATCGATGATATTATTATTGTTGGCTAATTCGATGATATGAACGATTTATTTTGTTAAAATATTATCATCAATTATCTCTTATAGAAGAATGAGAAAATTTTTTGACACTATTACTTTTTAAATTAATATAATTAACTTTAATATTATTTGAAATACGAATTTTAGTAACTTTTGAACTTTTTTGTATTATAAGTAAAGCAAGTTTCATAACTTACTTTATAGCTAATTATTTTTCTGCCTATTATCATTAATTATCATAGCCATTTTACAGTATCAACTTTTCAAAAATTGTGATCGAATAAACTACAGTCATATTAGAATAATATTTTCTGCGAGTAAATAATGCAAAATAAAATTCTGAAATGAAAAAGAAAAACGAAAATCAATTAGAATAAGTTTGCCGTTTTATTTCAAATTTCATAATTAATCAGATGAATTACTATAACAAATAGTTGTAATATTATTATTTATATTTTTGGTTAGAATAAGATAAGCTTTGTATTCTTTCTTTTTTGAAATCTTTATTTTGAAATCAATTAATTATAGTATTGAATGAATACTATTAATTAAAAATATATTTTCTGTAAATATCACAATAATTGATTAAATAATTTGTACCATAATTAAATTGAATTAATTGTTAAAATGAAAATAAATTATTCAAATTTCATCAAATAAATATATTATTCTTTTTTTGGTTTGATAATGTGTATATATATATATGTATGTGTATGAATGTTGATAACACGATGATTAAGATTGATAATCATGATATGGAACAAATTCATTTTAGCTCAAATTTCTTAATGATGATTAACTGGAAATGATATCAAGAGTACGCAAGAGAATAAATGAATGATTAAAGCGATATCAGGACGGGAATTTGATGATACAAAGGAGCACAACAATAGAATGATATTGCTCTCTTGAAATGGTACCCTTTTGCAGGTGACCTCCTTGTAAGAGCAACCAAATATAGGGTGAGATCTTATTATTCATTCATCCGAACTTTCACTATCATCTTTTGTTCTGCAATGGAATTCATGAAATTGAAATATCTGAAATCGTTGCGAGATAATGTGACCTGTCCTCCGACTATATTCACTTACGATTGTATTCACAGTTGATGAATTATTTGAAAAATTCAATACAATAAATAGCTAAAATCAAAATGACCTGTAATTAATTCTGAAAATTATATTTAAAAAGAATTAATTGCAATTAATGATATTAGCCTCTTTTTCATTGTTTTGACTGATAAGATATCTTGATTGATAAAATTTTACATGGTAAACATTCATATTACGGTCATGTTTAAATATTTCAAATGAGCACATTTGAATTTGAATAAACTTACTTAAATATTTAAGTACCACCACCATAATCTAAGATATCAAATGAGCTTTTCTGATAGTTGAAAATACTGTCATATATGGTCTACCGGAGAGGAAATTTCTTTTCCACTTCTTTTCAGTTTATATTCTTTCTTTTTTTCAAGCTTATGAAAAACTAAATCAAAAATTTCACTCCAAATTATTGAAAACAATGTAGCAATGCCTACAGTAACATTTTAATGAAGAAAAAAAGATGCAATACTAAATTTTATAAATAGAAAAACTTCTAAGTAAATTTAATCTTCTACAGTCTATAAAAAACAATGATTTAATTTGCTCAATTAATAAAAACAAAAATTTAATTTGAGATAATTAATATAAAATTAACTTAATGCAAGTTTTTCACAATTTTTTAAAGTATTTGAAATATTATACATTCGCTCAATTATTTATACCGTAAAAGATAATATAACATCTAATGAAAACATAGAATATTAAATGGTTTCTTCAAATTTAAATGCCTAAATATTTCTCTAAAAGTTTCATTGCTATTTAAATCTTCTTAAAGATTAATATTTTTAGTAAAAATAAAACTAAGTTATGAACTTTATGTAAAAACTAAGAACTTTCCAGGTTTGCCTTAACTTTATAGTAACAGGAGTAACTTATATATTGATTAGTTCAAGGATCTCATCTCCTTAAAGTTACTTATGATTTTTGAAAGCTTAGATTACTTTTAGTTCAGGCAATTCATAATATTCAATTTCTGTGCACCACAACTGAATACTGCCATGAGGAGATAAAGTTGAATGAACCTACTTTTGTTTGCGTACTATCAGAACTTGTGGGACTACAAGTTTCATTACAGTTGAATTTAGCTACCATTTGGCCGTCGATACACGAGTTCATGTTCAAGTTGTGAAACGATTTATGAAACTACCAACGTAAAGCTGGTGTTGATGCAGGTCTTGTGGTGAATATCGTAGGGGAGGAAAGGGAGGATGCAAAGTAACAGTTTGATAAGAAGTAACCGGGCGACATTTTATTTCGTTTGAAAAAGCTTAAAATTGTACTATGGCTATTCTGTTATTTTGAATTGCTTCAAGAGAAGGCATTCCCGAAATCTATTCAGGAATGTTTTCTCTTCCTATCATCTTTCGTATCAAGTTGCTTGAAAATTTGTTGTCCTTAGAATATAATTTTTCCTTACATCTCCTCGGAAATTCTGTTTCCACTTGATATGTTACAAATATCTATAGATCTTCCCTTTCAAAATTTCTTCAGCTTGCAAAAATTTTTCACTTTTTTTTTTGTTTTTTGAGTTTTATCTTTACATATATTTTCAACTTTACGGTGCGTTTTGTATATGTTTTGCCATACAATTTTTTGCATATGTAAAAATGTTTGCTGGTATTTTGATTCCGCAAGTGATTTCTTTATCTGGCTGGAAATTTTTCAGGATCAGGCCGGTGCGCTTTCAAAGATGATAGTGGATAGTGGGCAGTGAATGGCAGTAGAAGGCATTATGGCATTTTCAGAATCGCTTCTAAACTGGATTTTATTAACGGACTCCTGGTCGAATTATGTTTGGTTTGCGACATTTGTTCTGGTCGTTGCACTGATCCGTTTTCTGGATGTACTGAGTTATCCGGAAAAGCCTAAAGTAACCTATATGCAGAAAACAACGCTTGGCAAGAATCATATATTTATTGGTGACATGTTAGATCGATGTCCCATTCTGAACGAAGTGTTAGTTTATTTGAAGTGTTAGCTTGTCTCTTGATCATTCATTAAGCCTTGCCGAATCGTTATATTTCGATGGTAATGAACCGAGCAAGGAGATCCTTTTGCCTTCATGATATAGATATGAATTGAAATACAATTTATTGTCTAAAATACAATAATATTAAGTGGAAGCAACTACGATTCAAGGATCAGAACTTTATTGGCTATAATGGGAAAGAATTGACTTCCATACAATTAAAATTTGATCCTTACATATATTCTAATACTGGCAAATTTCAGTTACTCACCGCCGTTACTGTGGGGTCGAAGTGGTCATCTGCAAACGGCATCATACGGATTATTTGGGCACGCATCACTCATCCGAACCTATGACTCTCGGCATGTTGTGAAGTTAAGTGATGGCGCATCAGTCGTATTCGATGTTTTCGAACCTGTTAAGCTACATCATTCCAAAAGTAAGGATATTCTTTCTTCTAATTATCAAGCGAAAACAGGTTTAATGGAATTGAAGGAAGTATTTTTAGCCAAAAAATGATCCGAGTTTGCTTTTATTTTATTTTATTTTTATTTTTTTATTACAAATTTGGAGAACTAATTTATGAACTTTTGTATTTTCAGCATTGAATTTTGCAGAAAACCTAACACTAGCTCTATGTCCCGGTATTGCGAATACGAGTGAATCAAATTACATCCGTACTTGTGTTCATTACGCTCAGGAAAATGGATTTCGTTGTGCAGTATTAAATCATCTCGGTGCGCTAAAGCACCTCCCGCTCACATCAAATCGTATATTTTCCTACGGTTGGTTTGAAATTATTCTAGAGATAGCACAATGGAGATAGTCATTGTTAATTTAATGATAAATTTGCTAGTTGTGCAACAGCTGATTTCGAATGATGTTAATATAAGCTCTATTAATTACTTGTATTATGATTGAATGGATAACTTTAATTATTGTTGTCAGGAAGTTAGTTAATTTCAGGTCATTCGATTAACTGAAATTAATCGTGGAATTCTGATCGTTTCTTTTTTAGCCTATGACTAGAGCCGAATGGCTACGGCAATAACTCTTTTTGAATTTTGAATCACTTTAAGATGAAATACGTTTCAATTTAGGAGCAAGTTTTCCACAATAAATTTTTTTAAAGGTGGTACTGAGGAAATGGAAGAGATGATGGCACGTTTGCATGATTTATATCCATCCACTCGTTTCTTTTGCATTGGTTTCAGTATGGGTGGGAATATAATCACACGCATGATAGCTAAATTGTCATCTAATGATTCGCAGCATCGAATTGTTGCTGGGCTTTCGGTTGCGCAGGGATATTGTGCTGCATCGTTGGTTCTTTAACATTAATTTTATTAAACACTTATTAGTTCTCCATTTGCTATAATTCTATGTTAGTTGCAATTTTCAAGACAGAGAATGCTCACTTTTTCTTTTTTTTCCCATGATATTTAGAAATTTGAACGTAGAACTTCAATTCACATGTTTTTGATCATTAAACTTAGATATCAATTTGCTCAGTGCGTTTTGAAAGTTTTGCACCTCGTTACCTTCCTTCTTTTATTTATAATTTCTTCCCTCTATGTTTTTTTCAAATTATTGCTGCATTTTTTCAAGAAATTACGACGTTCTGGGAATATGTTCTAACGTTGAAACAAATAAAGGAAAAAAAAATTGCTTTTTTCGGAGTTTTCATCGCGAATTGATTTTAGGTCACTTTCGCTGTATCATAGTTGGGAAAATGGTCGTCGGGCATATAACTACTTGATAACGGAAAATATGAAGCGCCTTCTAAGGAGAAACTACGATATGGCAGTGGCACCGCACGTCAAAACAGGTTTAATAGATGAACAGGTAGCCTTTTTTAGTATGGAATTGTATATAAATATTTGATAATAAATATACTCTAGGAGATCTTGTTTCTCTGGATTTTCTTTCTTTTTTCCCAGACTTCAAGTCCTAAAAATTCATTTTAGCTGTGAATTTTCCAGCACTTGTGGGCAGCAACATCAATAATGACATTAGATGACTCATACACTCGGCGTATATTGGGTTACGAAAATGTTGAAGAATTTTATCGGGATATCAGTTCCTTATCAGTAATTCCGAAGATTAAAATACCGATGGTGAAAATTTTATTTTTAAAAAAAATTATTATTCATGCTAAAATGTAGACCGACTTTTATCTTTCTTGCACTGCCTCGTTTAGAAAACAAATATAAATTGTTTTTTTCATCTTACGCCATACGTTACTGCAAAAGTCCGATTACAAATAAGAATATAATATCCTCATAAGCCTTGTCATTTACCACTAGCGCAATAGAAAATCTTTTTCCATATTCTTAATAGCGAAACCAATAATAACGAAGAGACTGCGATTGACCATGTTAATATGGTAATAAGGATGGAAATGCTGTAGGTTTTCATGAATGCTTTGGATGATCCGCTGATACCGCCTTGTCTCTGGCATCCTGTTCAAGAATTGGCTGCAACAAATGAACATTTTGGCTTCGTTCTCACAAAACATGGTGGACATCTTGGCTTCCTGGAAGGTCATGGTATTACTCCAAACTCTGTCACTTGGCTGGATCGTTTTATTGTTGAACTTGCCAATTCGGTTGTTGTAGCATATGATAGTGAATGACTTGGAAGAAGAAATGAGAAGAGAGAAATTCTAACGTTTGGAAATGATTAATGATTAACAGAGGACTAAATGGATTAGCAATAGCTTTGTTATTTGTACAGGAAATTATGATCGGGTTTTTAACCAGGAATTATTCATGCTGATGCTGCTATAATAAATAAAATAAGATGGTGTGTTTATAATTTTGAAAATTTGAAAATTTGCGGGACTGTATATTTTAGTATGTTCAAATTATTTCCTCCTCTTAACAGTATCTTTGTAGAAATATTCTATTGTACTTTTTTCGAATAAGTTGTTCAACTTCATTTTCATATATTTTCCATTCTTTCATTTTTACTGTTATCTGTTTCACTGAATTCTTGATTTTGAAATGGGTTGCTTATGTGTGATAGCTTTTAGATTTCTTCTTTAGGTTAAGTTTAGCATATTGAGTAAATCGCTTCAGAGAATGCTATCTTTAGTCAAGTGTTTAGTTCACTTATATCAAGAAAAACTGTATTACAATGTCGGTAATAGTGGAATGGTATGTTTTTTGACATGCGGCTATGAAATTAAAAATTATAAGCTATCAATATTTTATTTTATATACCCAACTTTTAATTACTTTATTGATATCAGCCTCGATAAATGTTGTGTTGTGGTGTGTCAACATAAAAAACTGGTCGTTTTAAAAAGCTTATATGTTCATTCATTATAACCTGCAACTTGTTAACATAAAAACCGGTCGTTGTAAAAAGCTTATGTATTCATCCAGTATAACCTGCAACTTGATCTTTTTATTTCGTGTGTCAGACTACTTCATAGATATATTTTTGCATTTGTTTCTAGTCCATAATTGAGTGCATTGTTTCATTCGGTATTCCGTCCCTTGTGAAAATTATATTTATTTGTGGTGTATATTACTGAACATCATCTTTTTGTGTCATTTTCGCTGCTTTACATTAATGTATAATCTCTAATTTTTTCTTGATTTTCCTCAAAAACCGGAAAGTTCCAAAAAGTGCTATACATATTTGTTTATTATTATTTTCCGTAAAAGTTATTTCACACAGATAATTTTTTCATGTATTGATAATAAAATTGATGAAGTATTAATCTATTAAGCATCAAAAAAAAAAATTCTGTTCAACTCATTCCTCTAGATCAGGAAGCACTTCACAATTCTGTTTCAAAATTTATAAATGAGTAATTAATATAGACTAGCGTTCCAGTCGAAGAGTAACTGTTAATCCGATGAAATGCCAAGAGAAATATTTCCTTTCTTACGCTTAAGTCGCTTCTGCTTTAGTTCCTTGATTCTATACTAATACGCAAACAAATCATCCGAAGGATCATCAAGAGAAAATATTAAAACTTTTGGTTTTGAAATCAAACATTTCGTTCTTTCTTTCACCGAAACTACGAAAATGGAATTTTGAAAGTTAAGAATGAAAAGAAAATGGAACAATCCAATTTAAACATTTTCAAATGTTAGATTTTAAGATGTGGTAAGTTAGAGAATATTTATTAAAGAAGATATGAAACATTTTGTAGAGTATCATTCATTGCTAACAAATATAAATGAATAGCAAAAATATGAATGAATACGAAATATCGAGTAGAAACCAAATAACTTTATAATAAATTGAAATAATTAAAATTATGTTGTAGAAATTTATATTGTAAAGATTGCTTATCAATGTTAAAGTCAAATTATTTCAAAAATGTTAAATTGACTTTCAATAAACGAAGCTAAGAATTTAAGCAATAAATGGTGTTGAATGACGAAAAAACCGATTCATATTTAAAGCCCAAATTTATTTATTCAAAAAATAAGTTGGGCGTCAAAAATGATAGGATTTAAAAATTACATTTAAGGAAGATATCTTTGATTAGTTTTTAACTATTTCAATTTTGGAATAGGATTACAAACTGCTAAATAAGTATAATCTAATAGCGTTAAAGTTGATGGCATGCAGATATTTCATTACTCAATGTTTAACGAACAAAGGAAATAATCCAATAATTCAAGTAATGTCATATAGACAACACGTGGATAACGCACACGTGACGTTTTGCTGTTCAGTTCAGAAATTACACCCGGCTAATATTTCATACTTCATACATAGCTATAGCGTTTTTTCTGATTTCAATTATAAATTTTTCAAAGAGTAATTTAAAAATATCCGATATAAATATTACATCAAATTTAAAATTTAAAATTTTATTTTTAATTAAATTTTCGCTAAAATTAAAAATTTTCGAACTTCCTTAGATGAAAATTTGCATGTCAAATTTCATTATTTGTTATAACACAAAAATCACTTGCGGTCATTTTTCAGTATAATTCTTTGGGGGCGGCTGGTTCGTCTCTGTTCATAATGCCTGTTGAAAGTTATTCATTGCTTCCTCAGAGTGTCACACTCTGCGTATGAATTTCTCTCATTCAATTTAATATTAGATAACAATATCAGGTGTGGAAAATAAGGGAATATTCTAATCATTTCAAAACAAGATGATTTTCAATTTTAAACAATCCGAAATGCTTCAAATGAAATCTATGAAAATTTTAAAATATTTAAAATGAATTCAAGGATGAATTTCAGGAAGCGCTATTTACAAGCTTACTCATTTTTGCTTCAATTGCAACATGTATGAAGAAAAAGAAAAAAAAACCAAATCCACAGGAAAGTGTGATGCTCGGAACAACCAGTCCGGTTTTCTTTCTTTCTCTCTCTCTTTTCATTCCTAATGAATCATTGAAGATCACGTTTCTTCACGTTCACGTCTGAAGTCATTATGGATAAATGAGATTTCATCTTTCGTTGATACAAAATGGAAAAGAATTTCCATTACTACGTCGAATTATTTTCGGTGTTTCCTTAAAGCATAGCAATAATATTCGATGGCTTCATTTAATTCTTCGTTGCAATTATTCTACAATTTTGTAATTTAAAAAAAACTTGGGAAATCCAACAATTATTCGAAAGGTATAAGTCGTTTAAAACAAAGCTAGAATGAACAATTACTACTAAATTTATACAATTTACTACATATTGATTGAATAACGATGATCAAAAATCGCTAACGTTTATTTTAATTTTGAGCCATTAGATTTGTACAAAATTGAAATCTCCTCTATGCAATCTGTCTGTTCATAACCTTGCAAGCAAGTCGCTTAACTTCATCTTCATATGATAATTTGATAAAATTTCCCATTACCAATATTCGGACTAACTGATAGACCTAGTAATGTTCCGTATAGAAGTAATGATATCACGCAAGCCACATGCTAACTGACCTTCAATGATTCTTTACAGAAATTGTGGGAGTGATTAGTTATTTTGATTGATTTCATATAATCTTTTTTTTCAACAGTTATCAAGCACAGTTATCTATTTATTTTCAGTTGATACCAAAACTGATGTAAGTTTGCTTTTTCCAAGTATTATTCATTTTCGGCACTTTTATTCTATTCAAGGAATTTATCTAAAGATAGACGCCTAAAAAGATTTAATGATGATGATTCCTCGAAGATTACTGACAGTAGTACTACTGTTAATAATCTTCAAGGAATCATATCATCATTAAACCTGGAATAAGCAGGAGACAGAGAAATACGGGAAGACAGTGATTAGAAAAAATGTTGAATGTGAATTGTTATTAGCAACGTCAGTAATACTATCTGCCATATCATTTGAAATTTCAAAACTTTCCCAATTCAAAAAGAATAAAAAAATCTCATGAGAATCTTAGCATCGTTGCATTCCAAATATTTTCATTATTGCTTACAGTTGAACTAAATCGTTATTTTTACCACCGCTTCCATCTATTTCAGAAAACTGAAACAACTATTTAGGAAAATGCTTCATAAGTTTCCTTGTTACAAGAATCTTCAATATTTGCAGAGTAAGAAAATACAGAGTTTACAAATAGAAAAGCAAGATGGAAAACCATCACCACCACCAGATGTACCAAATATAGTAAGTATGCTTTACTATTTCAAAAGAAAAAAAATACCTGGAAAATTAAGCGTTAAAAAATTATTTCAAATTTTTTGAAAAATAAAAAATGTTGCAAATTAGGAGAAGAAGAAGTCCCATAGTGAGGAAATATTCAAAAGTGTTCTTAATTTGATAAAAGATAAATAAGCCTTATAATTAGTGACGGTTAGGCAATTTCTCATCCTTTAAACTTAAATTTATGAGATGTTGAAGCGAAGAAATAAAAGCAGTAAAACAAAATTTTATTAATAATAGTAAATATTACTTAAGAAACCAAATGTTGAAAAAACGTTAATGATTGAATTCGGACGTGAAAATAACGAACCGAACAATTCCCACATTGGTAAAAGTAAGAATTTCAAAATTTCATTTGTATTTTTTAATACCAAATTTCATTTCCTCCAATTTAAATGTAGAAGAGTTGCCGGATAATGTAAAAGAAAACGATGCAATCTGATATATTCATATTGGTAAAATGCTTCTATTACTTTTTCTCTTCCTGATCTTTTCTAAAACAATATTTTTCAGATGAAAAAGAAGCTGCAAATGACAATCATGTAAAGAAATTCTTTTTAATTCCTATTAATAAGTTTGAATTCACAACTAACATCCAATAATGTTAGCGTTAGAAAGTAAAATGAAGAATGGAATAAAATGAATTCGTTCTTCTACCTGTCCTTCTTAAACATTATTTTTCAGAATGGAGTTAAATATCAGAATAACTTTTTTTTCATATTATCCAGTTCTTTTCATTCCTTTATCCTTTCTCTTTCTGCATTTAACCTAAATCAAGATAATAATTAGATTAAATTAAATTAAATTAATAAAGTTTCATTCCACACTTAATTAAGTACTTCAGAAGTTGATACAATTGAACAAAACAGTATCGTCAATAAGATCGAGTGTCCAAAGTGAGAAAACACAAGATATGTCGAAACAGATAAATCATTCAAAAATAAAGTATTGTTTTTTTTTTAAAGTTATACATAAGCAATATCACTTGCCTATTTATTGGGGACAATAAATAGAACTAACTTTTTCAAGTCCAGATGATAAAATAATTTATAGATCAGCAGAAGGTTCGAAAATACAAAGTTCTGAGAAACTGGAAGAAAGTCAAAAAGATGAATCAAAGACCGGAAGAAAAATTTCCGGAATCTCAGGAACGGAATCTCATGCTACATCAAAGCAAGACGAAAGTTGAAATAAAGAAACCCCGCCAATACAAAAAACTTAAGTTGTAAGTATAAAATATCACTAAAAGTGATCCAGTAGTAAAAAATGATAATGGAAACAATTATTAAGTAAATGGTAAATTTAATAAATGATAAAAGATTTGTAAACTATACTTAAAGATACTTTATCAGTTTGATTTCCAAGCTTGACTTTATGCACAATAATATTTTTGTAATTGTGATCTGAATGATCAACAACAGTTACATTATTCTGTGAAAATAAATTAAGCGTCAATCTATATTATGTCTCTTATATCTTATGGGGACATTTATATCGTGTCCTACTAGCATCTAATAATATTTCCACATTATCAAGTGATAAGAGAATGTGACCACTTATCCACCTATTCTATTTTCAATACACTTAATTTCTGTAATGTTTAATACTGAAATAAGTTTAAATTTTTGGAAAACATAAATTTATAGAAATCATAAACATGTTATACCATAAAAATAGAAATTCACAAATCTGTTGCATAATCTTTCAATTGAATAGCTAATGATTAGTTTTAATAAGCATCTTTGTGTTCAATTTTTAACATTGACAATCCAAGTCCTTGTCAGCTGACTTTAAATAGCCTCAACTCATCTGGCTAGTTGAAGTACCACCTTAAGTGATACTTTTATTCCGTATTAAGCCTAATTTACCCTACTCAAGGCAGGAAATAAAAATGCTACAAAAATACTTCGAAGGTCAAGTAATGAAGTTTAAATGTCAGGAGAAACACAATTTACACTCCATGTAGAGAATGTGTTAATAAATCTTTAACTGACTCGCTCCCTTGACTTGAATATGTAATAACTCTTCCCACATACATTGTCCATCAATAATTGTGTTTTATAAGTAAAAAAATTACTTTACTTCATACGGTATAAGGTTGTCAAAGTTCTCCCCACTTCATACTTCATGCTTGATACACATCTTGTGAATACTATGCTTGCATGTTTATACACACTTATTGATTTACGCTTATGTCGAATATCAATGCATTATAAATCTCATTCTATTAGAGTCAGCGGTTATCAAATTTTTAAAATTTGCTTGCGTATGGTCCAACGTACTTCATACTTTATCAGTGATGCTCATTTTAGACCCATTTTTTGAACATAATATACATTAATAATAATAGTGATGACTATCGATTAGTGAACAATGCGATTAATGAACAAACTCGAAGGAAAATATAAGGAATAGGTGAATAAAAGGAAGGAAGATTCGGGAACTTAGAATTAGTAAAATTCTCATACCTTCTGTTCATTTAATATAACACATTTACAAACCAAAGAATAGTAGAAATGAAGGCAGGCTTGTAATCTTTAGCACTTGTTAAAATCTGACGAGTGATAGTGTAGCTTTGTGATATAGCCACATATTATTAGATAATTATAATTTTTTTTATTAGATAATTATAATACGTGGCTATATCACAAAACTACATTACTCCTCAATTAAGACGAAAATGGAACACTTCTGATTTTTCAAAAGAATTTTATGAGGTACACGATAGATACATTTACAATTGATAGTAAATATTCATTAACCAATTTCTATTTCTATTAATTTCAAAATCGAAAATTGATCAAACGTTTTAGTCCATTTTCAATCGAGGTTTGTTTACAAATTCTTCACCATTGATAAATATGAATAACATTAATGCCATGAAAATTACCAGCCAAAATATAGCTGCTGTCATATTTTCTGAAAAATAAATTCGTGAAATAACAAAATATCGACCTTCTGGCAGGCTATGCATTATCTTAACAAAATTATTTGTTATGATATGCTTATACACTAAAACACTCAAGTACACACACAGTTAAAGAATTTCAATACCAATAACTCGAAAATTTTTGAATTTCGAATAAATCTAATAAGGAATATGACGGAGAAGATTAATTTCAGTCTCAAGTTCTGCCGTTCTGTCTCCACATGTTTAATCTGAGCTAGAATTTTCAAGAATTAATAGATAAAGCTCATATTTACAAATGCTTACCCGCTACCAACACGCAAAGAATAATCATTGCAGCTGCAAAGATTGCACCGCCAATAGCACCACCATGGTAGTCAAAATTGAGCACTGTAGTCTCAAAAGTTGCTGGCAAATTGTTTGGATCAACTTGAAAATTACCAAGGAAAAGATTGATTGCATCCTGAAATCATTCCTACCATGCTTCCTCAAACAGAAACATTTCATCTCGTCACTTTGAAAACTTTTTGGCGTACTTAAGTTATTCACACAACATGGGTTGGGGAATAGTACTTTCAACAAAAAGTTCAACAATATTTCCGCAACCTGTCTGTAACCATCTGCAAAATTGTTTCGAAAGTAACGTGTAAAAGCATTAACGCAATCGTTCCACGCCCCGGAAAAAGTTCGCCTACCAAAACGCGTATAATCAGCCTATAAAAAAATAAAATCAAAGACTATTAGATCAGTGGGATACAGCAATGAATGATAAAAAATTTATTGCACTATTACACTAAAGAAAATGTTATTTTTGATTGTAATCGAATTCGGAAAGTTAGATCTAAAGTTAAGGGTAATAAAGCATTAACATTAATATATCAAGTTTGAACATCAAAGAAAAATTCATTAAAAGTATTATGTCAAATTTCTCTTCCATTCAACAAGTAACCATTGAACCTTCAATGCTCCCGTTCCTGCATACTGCCGACTGCATTCATCGCCATTATCAGCCCAAACTAAAAACAGTACCGACAAAACACTTTCACTTGACAGTACATGAGAAGGCCACATATTTTCGCATAACAAAGTGCTTACTTCTTTTGAAAGTAGCAGATAATTCCGGATAACTGTCCACTTCAAAGCCATTACTGATAATTTTCATATAAGATAGCTGATCTTTCAGTGATTCCTGAAACACGTTTGAGATAATTACAATGAAAAGATAAATGATTAAGAACGACCATCATTTCATATTTCTTCTGGAAACAGAGTTATTGTGTGGACATTCTGCTATTTCTGATCACAATCGAGTTTGGAAAGTTAAATGTGAAGTTAAGGGTAGCAAAGAATTCAGATAGGAATGACAGAAGTGAGCGAGGTCAGCATACTATTCAGTAAGATGAGCATTCCTCATATGAAAACGTCATTACTATCGACAGGTATGAAATGCATGTTATTAAAAAAATGTTACCAAAACTAGTTCAACCCTTAATAATACACTGCGATCCTACTTGAAAATTAAATCAATAAGGGAGTTTAAAAAGAACAATGAATTATTCTAAAGTAGAATACCTTAGCCAACATAGATTGAACAACATTAGTTCTATCCAAACAATCCATGCAGTTAGTACGAAAAAACCCTTTCTGTTTGTGTATTTGTTCCGTAGAATTTGTAGATGATGCAAAGAATCTAAAAAAAATACAGTATTTAAACAAACTTAAGCCTATTTTCTAACAGACAAGTTACTTTTTAGCTGTCCTGATCTATCAGAACAAAAAAGTTCCTAGTGTTCTCAACATAAAAATTTAATGTACTGAATGTGAAATAAAGCTTACTGAGATCATAAGACTATACGTTTTTCATTAGACATCAGACAACATCGCCGCTGAATGTAATTTCATTGTGAGAAGGATTACTACCAATGACAGACATACCCAAATTCTGTAATTTCGCCTCGAAGTTGTTTCTTGAGTATATCCAACCGACCCCAATTCAATATTCGACATTCTTTGTGGAAATCAAATGCATTGAGTCTAAAAAGTTAGCTCGTTCTTGAATATAAAATCCAAGCTTTGAATTACTCTTGAAATTTATCACTCCATTTCAAATCTTTCTCTGCTTTCCCTCCTTTCCTCCTGTCAATGCTAAACAGAACACTAAAGACTTGAAACTTTTTATAGCGATTCACCTGACGAAATCTAAATTTGTGCGTATAACAACTCGATCAAGCTCCCCACCGACACGTTTTTCACGTCCTTTCTGATTCACCAAATTTACGATCACCTCAAATAAAAATAATGAATTCTTGAAGCTTGATAAACAGGTTTTCCAATCGGGCATATCTAGCATATTTTTTTCGTGCCTATATATTTTATATTAATTTCAATATGAGTGAAAATGGCACATCTTATGATATTTATTGTTTTAAATTCAAAAACTATTGCGTAATTTTCAAAAGTGTATGCTATTGCGTAATTTTCAAAAGCTTCGCATCATATATTGAAGGGTGAATACTCAATAAAAGCTCTTATGACAACTACAACTCTTTGATACAAGTCGTATTAAACAAATTTTCTTCAATCTATCAGAGCTTGTCGCTATACAAATACTTAAAGCACTTAGTATTTTGTTTACCCAAATTCAAGCCATCCCAATAATTTATTCTTTTTTGAACAAAAACTACTGTTAAGAAACTGGAAAAATTCGCAGAAGTACTAGCATGTTTTCCTCCGTAAATATTCCGCTGTATTATCATATGTCGCTTAAAAGCTTCCGTTTGATCATCAGTGGAATTTAGCGTTGGTTCGGGTTGCCAGTGAAGATTTGGTCTCTGCGACCAAAACAGCGGTATTGATCCTCTTATCTGCAAATCACATACACTTTTCATTTATCAAAAATTTCAGGAACGGCGCAAAAAAGAAGACAAATTTCTCGAATTTTACTTTACACATTTTTGAAATTTTTCTTCAAAATTAAGTAAACACACGTTATTTCAAAGAAAAAAAAGTGGACGAACTATCCATTCCCATTAGCAAATTTGATTAGAACTTTTATAAAATCTTCCATACTAACCTGTACAAATGATGTTAAATATCTTTGTTTCGAATCGCTATCCTTATTGTACTCCACTAATTGCTCAGTTTCTACGTAGTTTGCCGAATGTCCAGTAGCACTAACTCCACGCATATAAAACCTTGTACCTGCTCTAAATTTTTTTTTCAAGAATTATATTTGTTGATACTGCTTTATCATACAAAACAAATAACATTCATTCCTATCAAAGCGAAAAAATCCGATCTTCATTTGGTTTGACTTTTTCCTGAGTTTTAGCAGATAAGTTGAAAAGTTCAATCACCATTACTCTGATAGGCTAGGATTATAGCTGTATCAAAAAAGAAAAAAGAGAAATTTAGTTAATTCATATCATTAGATAAGACGTAAAAGTATTTCATATTTATGTCCTAAATCGCTGAAAGATCTTCAGAAGGAATTATTAATTACGCATTTCTCCATGTACAATGTTTCCAGATACGCAGAACAGCAGTAATAATTGCGAATACCAACTTGAAGTGATGAATACATCAAAAGGAATACTAGCACTAAATGGAATGATTCAAACCTGTATATAGATCTCCGAGATATAAGACAAAGTTGGAAGACATGTCCATTAACAATACAACGACTGATATCAAAAAAGCCATGTATTATTGGAAGCGCATATCGAAATAATTCGGGAACGGCTGTAAGAGGGGCAGACAAATATCGATTCCAAACAAAACGTTCATCCGACTAAAAATGGCATAAAAATAAATAGAGATGAGAGATAAAACATGTTTACTTTTGCAAGGCAAACTTTACAAACAAAGAGACCAGAGGTTAGAGAGACATTAGCAAGAAATTAGTTAGTTAATTGGTGAGGTTAATGAGGCAAAGACTGCCGAAATCTTTTCAATGTGTATATTTCCTAACACAACGAAGTTCAAATAGTACTTTTTTTAACTTCTGTTGTACTCAATCACTAAATGTTCGGCACAGTGCGACTACAAAACGTGACTACAACATGGGACATACCTCAGACGAAATATAGTAGAAAACAAACTCTACAAAAAGCAAAATCCATGTCGAATTTAAAGATCGGAAAAATTTATTCAAAATAATAATTAAAAAAACCAGAAATAACGAACTCGACTCATCATTGGAAGTCTTTTGAAGAATGGTGTAGCATTTTCTACTAACCACTGCGCTGAATGTGATAAATCGTAAGTGCGGGAGAAATAAAACCCACCAGTTGATAATACAAGTTGGATCATATCAGTAAAATGGCGATTATACCAAATCTGTAACATCATTGCTTCATTTAAAATTGATTGTTTCAATTTTTCTAACGTGCAATTAAATAAATAAAACAAACAGCAAATCACTTAAATAAAATTAGCAATATAATTGAAAAACTTGCTATTGACGTCAATTTTTAAAGTATACGATTTCGAAGCCTTTAAAATTTCAGTTTTAGCATTCCTAATGCAACACAACACTTATCCGTTGTTAATTTTAACGGCTTTCAAGTAGCTGAAATAAAGGCAAGTTAAAGGAAATGAGTAACTTGTTTTTCTGTTAGGTGTAATGTTGTCTTCTCATATGGTATAATTTCTGTTTCAGCTATCGCCCATATTTCATGACCAGTCAAAACACCTTTCAGATTAGCCTTTGTTATAGCTATCAAAGCATTTCCTGAAAAAAAGACGTGTTTCTTAAAATAAGATTTATCATAGAACTACCATAACATCTATTTCTCTGTATTACAAGGCCAAATACATTCTTATAAACATTAAGACTAAAATACGTTAGTTCACATACATTCATTTTGAAACAGTAAAATCAATATACGACACAAACCTGATACTATCCTAACGATACCAACAATTCCATAAATAACTTTTACTTCAGCATCATGCATAAGTATTGGCTTCTCGATGTTTCCTGTGTAAATACGGTAATTTAAATAATAAAACTCAACAAAATTTGAAGAGAAAAAGAACAACGACAGAGTAAGCAAATCATCTTTATATAACAAACTGAAATCAACTTACTTATCAAACTTAGCTTTCCCGTATTGCGATCAATTTCCAAATATGCATCTGAAACTAATCCACCGTCCCGTCCTCTTGGTTCCAAACAAAACCTTTCGGGAAAAATACACCTGAATGAAAATAAAGAAGTGAAAACTGGTTAATAAATTTAAATGTAACGGTCCAACAACTGATACATTATGCTTAACAGGCAGTCGAGCCAACACCAAAATAACCATATTCTTTACAAGATACATTAGTTAGAGAGTTGCAGCGTTATAAATTATAACGCAACTATGATTAGAATTAAATAACAAATTTACATCTGTAGCTGTGAGAAAGCCATTGATAAATGAATGAAGTCATGATGAATTCCATAAGTCTCAGTAAAGACGCAATACACCTAAAAAGATTTTCAGAAAACTTACAAATTGAGCTGCTCATAAATTTCTGTCGGTCCATCCATAAGTTTCAAATGATCGGATTGTAATTTCATAGATCCTGGGAAATATTTATTATACTTTATATCATTTTTTATCAAATATCATATTTATAAATAAGCATGAAAAGATCTAAATTCCATAAAAACCGAAATTAAATTTGAAAATTTACTATACAAACTCTTCAGAAATTTGGTAATCGTACCATAAATTTCAATCTCCTTGTCGCTTCTTTTCTCGTTCACTTCTTTCCCTTTTTCTGAAACAAGCAGTTTCAACGATATACAAGTACATATGTTTGCGAAAATTTCTACCATCAATTAATTTATATGAGACACTTACAAATTATTCGTTTAAGAAAGAAAACATTCAGGATGTAAAATGAAATCATATTCAACGTAAAGTTTCAATTTCAGTAATTAAGTCTTCATCTCACATCAGTACATTTGCAAGTCAAGCAGTTCCAACTGTCACCATACATGCAACAATGTAAACTGCCAAACACAACCAATCGCAATTCAGGCAATAACCTAAAAGCGGGCGATTTTCCAATATTCACGTTATATTTGACTGTTTCGGATATTGTTGGTTGATTTTCTCAATTCTGTATGAGATATTCCATTGAGCCTTATCATATCACTAATTATTATCTCTTTTCTTCGCTCATCCTTACCTTTTTCTTTTCATTCTCTTTCATCGTTATCCTATTGAAAAACTGCTGAATATTAAACTTTCCTTTGTTCCTTAGCGCTCTCCGCTTTTTGCATAGTTTAAATCTTATTTATCTTTTTCTTCCATATAATACATCACATGTTGTCTATACATCGAATAGTAATGCATCCCAGCCTATGTTTCATGCAATATTTTACTACAAATTGAGAAACATTTGGAGAAATTTGTTTTGTATTTTAGATACGATTAATGTATTTTAATTTTGATTTCAAAGTTCACATATTCATCTTACTGTTTGTATATGTTCTTCATAACTTCTGCCCACTTCTCGGAGGAGAGAGGGAAGAGAAAATATCAAAGTTCATCTCCTGGAATGTTATCAATAAACTGAGATGCTTTCAAGAATAATTGATCTAATTCCATAATCACTCATTTTCCTCTATTCAATGTTATTCACAAAAAAAAGAAATTTCATTATAGGATGGCGAAAGTTCGTGAAATACCTTTCGGAACATATGATCTGAAATTCGGCAAATCATTTCATGAACGGGGAGAAAAGCCTGTTTATCACACGCTTCGATGTAAGATATTGATTTTTTCAGATATTGATTGATTAGACACTTTGTATATTTCAATATTTATTGATATAAATGCGAAAATCTGTACTGAATTGAGAAAATCTATATTGAATTGAGATTTAACAATCCAAAAACATTCATTCACATTCTGATGCATCCCTTGAATGTAGTTGAAATGAGAGATAGAACAATTTAATGCACACTGACATGAACAGATTGTACTCACATTCAGATCAGAAAGTTTATTTCCTCGGATGTTAAGAAAAATACATTTCCAGTTGATTTCAAGCCCAAATCGTTGGCAGGTGAGAAGGAAACATTCATAGCATTTGGTGGAAATGGTGATGTACAGGTTTTTCCCTTTCTCTCTATTTTTATGATTTCTTTTTAGTCTTTTAATGCATATTGTTTTCGAAATTTCTGAAGTGAAGTGGATAGGAGTTTACGTAAATATTGTTCTGAGATTTCTGTTTCTCGGAAGCATTTTCATAGGAATTAAGGCAAAAAATATCGCAAACGTATATAGGTATCTTCAGTTGTTTTTACAGGTAGCAGTACCAGGTGAAGGAGATGCTTTAACAGTGTTTAAAGGAGCACAAAAGATGGTGAAAGGCGAGAAAGAGTGTTTGCTGTTTTTCGACCATTCGACCGGTGAAATGAGGATTGAAAAGCTTTCATCTATAATGTCTGTGAAGAAAACAAGGTAGTATTTTCCTTAAGTAAAATAACTAAATTCATCTTACAGCAATAGTAATAAATAGCAACGGTTTGATAGTTGTAATGGATAACTATTAGGATGAGAATACTCACTGTTTGTCCAGAAGCGGAGGCAAAGCTAAAATTCCATTCGAATTTTTATTCGAACGTTGTTATATCGCTCTGTATGGTATATATATGGAAATTGCAATATTGGGGCTCACTTGTTGTTCTTTTTTGGAGAAATTTTATTAATGAACGACTGAGATATGTTCACTCTTTGCAACTGTCGAATTGGAATGTTTTTTTCATAGAATTATTGCATTATAGTTTATGAAAAGAACGGTTATGAAATTTGATGCATCACATAAATTTTGAAAGTTTTTGATTGAAAAATGGAAATTTTCTCATGCAATGAGTGAAACTTCTACTCAATTATCAAAGCAGTAATGTTCAACATGGATTTGATTAAAAATATTTTGATGGTATCACAGTTGTAGTAATGAGTTCTAGAGGTAACGAAGATAGCGTCTGTGTAAGATTACGATCCGAAATTGAACGATTACGAAAAGGAAGCGAAGAAAAATCAGACGGTGAAATGGATGATACTAAGGTTTTTTCACTTTTATTTCTATTATTTTATTAATGTACTCAATATTTGTACTAAATTTTATAGAGATTCACATTGATTGAATTTATTATTTTCTTTATTGTCGGGTTTTCGAAAGGGAATTGGTACTAAAAACGAGGAAAAATGTAGTGAAATAATACAAAATCAGATTTAAAAGGCCGTTTCATTATTTTAAGTATTGAACGAGTGGATAGTCATAGTTATAAAAACTATTGTTTTTAGCATTTTTATCGAATTATTGGCTTGATTAATTCTTTGATTTCAGAGTTCAAGCGGTTCTTCAACGGTTGCATCATCTGAATCAGGTGATTCCGATTCAGAATGTAATGATGGATATAAGAAAGCAGCATCGATAGTATCAAAAGGCATGCGCAGCAGTGATGATTCTAGAAGCAGGAGTAGAGATACTGAAGATGATGATGATTTACAAGGTACTTTTATTTCGGTATAGCTGTGTGCTAACAGCTTGGGAATTACATTATTGTATACGATTAACGATTTTAACTATAATCGTACTTCCCAAGATATTGATTTTTGTTCAGGTAGAAATTTATCTGTTTTACGTGTGAAAAACGACTCCATTTTAGATGGACATTTATTATAGTTAAAATGAGAAATCATGAGAAGCTTTTCCTTCATGCAATGAATCTCAGATTCTCAAGAACTATGAGAATCACGGACCAACGCTTACTTAGAAAATCTTCAAATTACTTTTTATATTCATGAACATTTTTCAGAAGCGTTGGAACAGCAGCTTCGTTCACAATCGATGCCTTCAATCGAAGAAATGAAACATACACAAGTCAAATCGTATCCACCACCACCGCTTCCCGTTAATAGTAATGCAAAGAAATTATTGCATGATGATTTACAGCTAAGTGAAAGTTCGGATGAAGATTAAGGATTTTTCCCTTACTCGTAAATTTTTTCCTTCCGATTTATGTCAAACTGTAGGATAATTTGTTGTGAGAACCTTAGATTTATTCTTCTTCTTTCAAAAAAATTGCAGATCTGATCAATTTTGTTCGTTTTTGACATTTCAGCAAATTTTATAGACTTTTTAAATTTTGCCTTCATTCTTTCATCAGCTGTTTATTTTATATTTTAAATTTATTATTGTTGAAATAAGCTATTGAATATTTGATTTGGTTAGCTAATTAGCTAACCATTTCTTGCTTTTGTATGCTTATTCCGAATATTTGATTATGTTAGACATGTTTTTACATTAGTGCTCAGTGGTATTGATTGATGGTTAAATTATCCAACTACCAAAGTCTGATGCACCAAAATACACTGTCACAGAAGAATGAGTGGTGATGTGACTGTCGTCATTAACAGTAAATCCTGCCTTGACGGTTTGCAAAATATGAGAATAATAGAATGATTTGTATAAAACTGCAAAATGTTAGGTTTATTCCATAACAGCTTAAACTCAGGCTGAATTAAAATGAGTGTTCAAACAGAGAGAAGAGGACAAACGTCCGATGCTTAATAATGGGCGCGTCGGACAAGCCTGAATTTTCAGCAGAAGGACAGTGTGTATTTGGCATTAGTCGTTTTATTCAGTTATTTGTCTTAACATGTTCGTTTTTTTCTCTGAACTTGTAAAATGGATTCTTTGATCATGTTTTCGAACACAAGTATTGATCTCAATAGGTAGCAGTTGTGAAGTTCTTTAATATTTTTTTTTAAGAATATATTACGCGTTTGATAAAGTCTATGGGATAAGGGATATAATGACATTTATTAATACCTGATGACTAAAATTCATAATTCACAGGCATCAGTTTTATTTTATCGTGCTATCTGTATTGTTTTATTGAAAGAGTTTATCAATATATCACATTAAATTCATAAATAAATACAGAAGTAAGTCGAGAATTTTGAACCAGGCATCTACAGCATGTATAGCAATTTCTATACATTAAAGTGCATGCAAAAAATTAATTGTCACTTAATCTTAGGAAAGATTAAGATGAAACAGAAAGGCGCAGAATGAAAGACCCGTTTTCTTTGGGAATTCTTCACACCACATATTGCTTGAGATAACAGTCAAAGAATGACTAATGCAAATGGAAGGAATGGCGTAGAATCCATTTTTGCGGAAGTTTTGTTTTATTTTGAAGTACATATTGGAATATTCAAATTCTCCGAAAAGAAGAGGGAATTAATTTTAACCAAATAAAAGATCGAAATAAATAGAACTGAAATTTAGTATTCCATTTTAGTTTATACTTGGTAAATTTAATATTTACTCTTCAAATCATTGAGCATTTTACCTATCTAGCAACTATTGTTGACAATTGTTGTTGTTCATTATTGCTGCTGTTAAAAACATTGAACGATGATGATAATTATAAGCTTTAGTAATGTTTACTTTTTTGAATTGCTTTTTAACAAAAACCTGTAAACAGAAGCAATAATGATTTAACAAGGGTGAAATAAGGTGTGAAAATTCTGAAGATTGAATTTCAAACAGTGGTCACTGTGCTATTTGATTGATCATCAACGAGTTTTAATGTTCGAGTACGCCTCACTGAAACAAATAAAGATTGAGGAAATGGAAAAATATTAGAAATATTAGAATATAGATATTTGGTATGTCGGGATTAAAACAAGTTTACACATAGCAATTCGGGAACTGAATAACTTGAGATATGCATTTTGAAGTTTTATTCCAACAAATGAATTGTGAATTTTATAATTAAATTAAAATAGATTTTTTCTTTAGTCCAAGCGAAAATGTAAACGTAAAATGTAAAGCGAAAATGTGATGGAATTCTTTAAATTCATAATGCTTTGATGAAAATAACTAAAGATTTTAGAATTAGCTTCTAGAAGCATTAAAATAAAAAAGTGAAAATAACTTACAAGATTTTCGATTAAATTGCCTAGCCCTACGACGATGATCACGTGGTTCAGTTTGAATCGTAGCTGCTTTTACAAGGCCATCAAGAATTTCATCATCTGGTGACTCTCGCCCGGGACTATTCGAATCCATCACTCGTCCAACTGATCTCAACACTGCAAATTCTTAAAATGAAAATTGCATTTTATTATTAACATAAAAAAAACATCAATCTAATCTAATTTACCTTTTCGACTAATCGATATTTGTTATTTTTAAACGTATGAAAAGTAAATTGTTTTGTCATTGATAAATTTATGCATCTTATTGTAAAAACAAGGAAACATTACAAAATTGATTACTTTCTCTTTGACTTGTAATGATGTCAGCAGGCGATCGTTCCGCTATAAGCTTTGTTCTCGTCCTTTTTAACGTATCATCGTTACTTCCACCAGCTAGCATACGTGACATCGCTTCATGTCGCTTAAAACATACGGAAAACTGAATTAACAAAATCTGAGATTCGAGTCAGTCAATATAATATATCTTTTAGTACTAAGGCGATAATATGAACATTGAATTGGTTTTATGAAAAGGATATAATTGAAAAAAATCCGATCAGTCTTGCTAAAATCTGGATCCGAGTAAACTAGACAATCTAATATAGATAAATTGCAGAAATGCTACAAATTCATTTCAATTTGAATTTGAAGAAAATTTGCTTGTATGTAAAGTTGATATTAACTTTAAATCTTCAAAGTTTTAAATTAAGATTTTTCATTTTCTTATCACTAACCTGTTCAGCATTCATTTGTACCGGTGTACGTTTCAAATTACCATTTAATTCCATACCTTCCTTACTGCTTTGACTCTCTAATGCCCATATTTTACCCCGTGTTTTATTTCGTTCACGTTTATCCGCTAATCGTTTTCTTTGTTGCAAAATTTTATCCCGAGTGGTACGATATTCAAGAGCAAATTCATTGACCATTTTAAAAACAGCCATTGGCTTTAATGTTGGTACTTCGTTAACACTGTAGCCAAAAAAGAGCAAAAATGCATGCCATCTAAAAATTAACAAACTTTTTTTTCACTTTAATTAGCTAATTATTAAAAATGAATTTTAAGCAAATAAAATTTTAGGATTCATTCTTACTATTTTACACGAATATCCTATAAAACAATAGGTACACATTATATGATATCAGAAAATCTACCTTCCACTTAATGATTCAAATAAACGAATTACATTTCACTAAGGTAGTGAAAAATTCATCCTTCACCTTTTATGGTACCAATGAAGTTAAGATGAAAGTAATGCAAAAATATCAATGAATATCTCTGTTAATTATATTAACCAATAAATGATATGTATGCATTCTTATTTCCATCTGTTTACTACAAACCTATTAAAGGCAATCCTATAGATAGCCTTAAGTTGATGAATTCGTTGTGCCACGTCATTCAAATAATCATTTATCTTTTGTTTCATCGATGATGAACTATCATTTTTGCTAATTTTAGCCAAATATCCCCAGGATGCTTTACAATCATGCTCCAATTTCTTCAAATTTGATTCCAATTCATCGTAATCAAACTAAAAAAAAGTTTAAATTTTTGATTAAATTTAAATTAAAGCAATAAATCTTTTAATTTATATTAAACAATAACTTATAAATTAATTTTAGATTCAAACAATTTCATATTAATTTTAATTTCCAATAAAAATTGTTTAAAGAATAATGTAAAGAAAGAAATGAACAAAAACCCTCGCTGTACGAGCAACTGCACCAAATTCGGAATATAAATCAGTTCCATCCGAACAATGTTCAATCATATATTCAGCTAAATGATATATTAACGTATGTTTGTAAACCGGATCCTTTACTTCTGATGCTTTACTTAAATAATCCAATTGAAAACCTTTGATCTGCAAAAGAAAAGAATGGTTGCATTAGCAATAACTTATTAATGATTGTATTGGATGATCACAATAAGATTTAAGGAAAGTGGACAAAATTAAAGTTATAAAATGAAACAAGCTTTAATAGTTAATTATAAATTAGGTGAGATTTCTTGTTTAACAGGATATTTCATGAATACAGAATTTGCATGGTGAGAAATGAGTTCAGGAATTCTGGAGAACATTGAATGAGGAAATCACTTCTTTCCTCTCTTCCTGTTTCTCAAAATTACTTCAACTTCATTTTCTCTCTCAATTTTCATTTTTATATTTCATTTAAATCAAATCACATTAGTTCCATTCAATGTATTTCCAATAAGCAATAGCATTCCCATAGCAGTCCGGAATGTTTTCGATTCTTCAACCTCTTTCATCGCTAATTGTAAATCCATCAATGGTTCCGCTATATCCTTAAATATGGAAAATTTTTAATTTGATAACAAAATTACTTTTGATAAAGGTGGAAAAATCAGGAAGCTAAGTAAAGGTAAATTAAACTTTGCAAAGTAAATGTAATTTGCTTCTTTTTTGAAAATAGCATAAAAAGAAAAGTATACAGTGGCAATGCTATTTTGCAAGCAATTAATTAATTAATTCAATACTAAATTTTCTTCCTTACCGTGCAAAGCAAAAAGGAAATTCCAAAAAGCTAAATTTCGAAAATTAAAAGAAAAACAAACACCATACTTTTTCACAATTTTTGTAGTCCAACGTAAATACCCAAAGCCTAAGTCTTTCCAGTAGGCATGGTATTTGAGAAAGCCTAAGAAGAAATTGTTCCGCTTGACCCAACGGCATATCCGGATGTTCCGCAACTTTCAATTCGATTTGTTCAATTTCAGTTGGATTTGGCATCATTGTAGTGAGGATTTTTTCAATACCCTCTTTATTCAGCACCAATGAATCGAATTTCTAAAATTTTCTTCAATTCAACATTTATCATTTATTTTCTGTGAAGAATAAAAGTAAACAGATTGATGAAAAAGTAGCTAGTAACATAAGTGATAAAAGCTTGATAATGATAACCATGATAGCGGTTGGAATAACGCTTATCGGTGGTAGTTTTGTTAATCCGATATTAATAGCTTGGGATCGCTTTAACGGTAGCACTTGAAGAACTTGTGCCCGATGTTCACCATTTAGTCGCTGGAAGATTACGAAAACATTATTTCCAATCATTTTATATATATTTTTGTTGAAATCAATAAGAATTTCTATATTTAGAGAAGGCGCAAAATAACAGTAGGGAAAGCGGAAAATGTGAAAATATGCCAATATTTGCGAAAATCTTTTTAAAGCAAAAATAAGAATTTGTTGGTTGGTAATTTCTAAAATATTCAATCACAAAAATATATTCATTTATTCAACCGGAATATTTAACCTAATATCTCAATACTAAACGGAATATCAAAAGTCCTAAATATGCTAAATTTTTTTGGAATAATCAAAAATTAAATAATGCTGGTTATTTGAGAAATCAAAGAAAACGTATCATAAACAAATTAAAGTGGAATGAAAAATTACTGACAGCTATAATTAAAGTAAAAATGCTAAATTTTTAGTTATATTAATAATTCGATTAATTTTTCAAGCATATCAGTTGAAAAATGTGAATGAAATTTAATATTATAATAGTATGCAAAAATACTTTATTCCATCATTTTCATTATTACCATTTATCGCATAATCGTTAGTAGGTAAGTTAGAGATAAAATAATCATAGGATTTGAATTTTAAAATAAACTTTACCTTGACAGCTGGAATTTCTTTGGTTTTTTGCTCGAATAATTGAACCAACTTTTTAGCATCAATTTGTGGTAAATCAAGTTTATGCCAAAATGTTCCCTTATTCCTCAATGATGGAACAGGTGGTAGTTCGGCTTGAGCAGGTTTCCAATGTAACTTTAATGTACCTGTTTTCGATACCGGTGGTACTAAAAGAAAAATTTTAATATTATTTCATGTACTACTAATTTTAATGAATCAAAATTAATTCAATTTTTTTTTTTAAAAATTTTCATCTACGAAGTTTACTTACTATATTAATCTCAAGTGCATACATCAAATTGTTTAACAAATTTTAAATTTTTTAAAAATGTTCACCTGGACTTGGATCACGACCTGTCTGATTCGGGTTACCATTTGGAAGCAGAAAAGGTGGCGGTGGAGGTGCTCCCGGTGCACCAGGCAATAATGGAGGTGCCGGCGGTGGACCTCTTTCAGATGCTAAAAATTTAAATTAAAAAATTCTGATGAATTTAAAAATCGAAAGATTTATATTAAATTAATTACATATCAAAATATGATTTCATTTCTCGGAATGCATCAATAAAAGTAAACAAGTATGAATAAAACCCTGATCAAAACTCCGATCTTAGATATTAAAAGATATTTTATCATCTTCCATAACAATAATTTTAAGTACATCTTATCAAAAATAAAATAGGAAATGATGATATCAAGTTTTCTTATGATACTCAAGATATCAAGTTTTTTTTATAAACATATCGCGATAATATTCCTTCATAAATTATGAAACATGAGCAATCTTTAAATTCATATATTAATCAGAAATTAAATTTTAAACCAAATAGAATAATTATTACCTGACGTAATACCATTAGCGTTAACACCTGAAAGTAAACCTTTCTCTTGTGCAATTGCTGCTAATCGAGCCATTACCAATGGATCTTGTTCAAATTCATCTTTATGAAATTCCGAAAAATCCAAATCATTAATAATCAACGGTTTCGATTTAAAATTTTCAGCAGCCTGAAATTAAAAAATGAAAAAGAAATATGAGAAATTTAATAATGCTTCTAAAATGATTTAATAGTTTTAATTCTAAATATAAATCAATGATAAGATTATATTTGTGATATTGATATATTTGCAATTTTATTCATTTCATTCGTCTAATTTTTATAAAATGAAAAATTTGAAAATTTATTAATTAAAGGAAATGAACCTTTTTCCATTGTATTTCTGCTTCATCTTGTTTTGGTTCAAATAATGCTGCATTTTGTTCTCGTTTAAGCGCACGACGACGTAATTGTGCTGCAAATGCATTACCACCAGCTGCGCTATCATCATCATCTTCGATTACCTAAAATTCAATTAATTGAACATATTTTATGATGGAATTTGACGAGGAAAGAAAACAACCAACAAATTTAGTTTAAAATTTTATAAAGCACAAATAAAACTATCATAGACTAAATAAATTTTCTTTTTGAATTAAAATCGGCAGCTTAGTCAATTTTATATTTTATTCGAAATCATTTGAAAAATTCTTTTAAAAATTCGAAGAGAATTTTAGAATTTCATATACCTTTGCTTTAGGTGATGATATCCTTTTTGGCTCCGGTATTATTTCGGATTCTTTCTTAATCGATTCCGGAAATTCCATTGTTTTATTTTCAGTTGGAGAAAAAAGTGTAGAAGGAAATGATGGTGGCGGTGCACGGACCTAAAAAGAAATTAAGCATTATTTAACAGTGATTGATTTAATTGTGTCTATGTAAATTACGTTGATGAAAGGCTAAAATAATATACCTGAATCTCTCTGATAAGAGTATAAGAAAAGCTCAAAGATCGAAGATTTAAATTTAAAATGCTTTTAAAGTTATCCCTAATGTTTTATTTTCAATCAATGTAGATGTTTAATTCTTCAAAAGATTTCAGATATGAATGAAATTAGTTGTGCATGCAAAAAAATTCGTACATCAATAACAATTTACCATCTAATTAATAAAATTGCAAAATTTAATTATCAGCAAATCTACCATCATCAGGAAAAAAACAATAAAAGAAAAAAAGGAAAAGAAATATCAAACCGGTTTCTCTTCAGGTTCCATATTTTCATTATTCTCCAATTTTTTTTCAATCGAATTCATTGGTGTCACTGAAGATTGTTTTATTGGTGATTGTGACCTTATCTCATTTACCGATGTATTCTGGAAGGAAAAGGACAACTGTTAAATGGTTGATAAACAAGGAACTTTGCAATATGGCAATAAATGAATCAAATTCTAATTTGCAAAAAATTCTCCGGTTAATTTTGCCTTTTTCTTGATGAAAGTTTACCAGTAACTGACTGTATTACTATTTTTCGGCTGTGTTTCAATTTCGGAAAATTTCCTTCTCCATGGTGGTATCACTTTTGGTGTATCATCGATCGCATCATTCGAGGTACCATTGATACCATTGATAAGTTTATCACCAGCATTTTTCATGGATCTATGAACGGAAAAAAATCAATATTAGATTAATTATTGGCATAAATAGCAAATTGTTGGACAACTGCGCCAGTAATTAATCAAGTAACAAAAATTGTAATTATTATTAAGAGCTAATTTTTACAATAATTTTTAACTCAATTTTGATAATTTATCTATCATAGACTGTAAAATGCTGTAAATACGGCAAAGTTCAATATTTCGAAGCTTAGTAAAATTTTCTTCATATGAAGAAAGGTTTAATGCTAAAACTTACAATTCAAATTTTCCAATATTATTATTTACAGAGTTGATTTTATGAAAATTGTAGTGTTCTTGTTGCCGAATCAATGATTCCTGATGTCGGCGACGCATTGCAGCTCTACGATCAGCAACGATCGATGGTGTCGTTTGCATCCTACAATAATTCTTGTCTGATGATGACTTAAATGAAGTACAATTAGAGGTGTAAGCAATTAGACAAGCGATTAGGCTTATGCATCAAAAGGTCAAAAAGGGCAGAAGTGAGCTGAAGAATCATTTAATCCTACAGGAGTTAATTGAAATTATTTATAGATAAATTGAATGCAAAAATGAATTTGCTCTCAAAAAATAATCTTTAAGTTCTTGCAGAAATAAATTTGATTATATCAACACAAAAAACTAGAACTATGAATAAATTTGAAAGAAAAAGAAAAAGTTAATGATAATTAACCTTTGACCTGTAGTAGTCGATTTGTATCATTTTTTGTTATAAAATAAACCAATTAATACCTCATTTTAACGATACTTTCATCACTACTTTCTGCTTCATCTTCTTGTTTGAGCACTTTTTCATACAATTTACATTGATCTTTGAGATCTTTATGACCGAGTTTTAGCATATGTCGCATCGCATCTTCTAGACCCTGTGATTCGAGAGAATCAACGAGATCATAATATGTATCCTGAAAATATATCATCATCTAAATATATCGATTGATTAAAAAAAAGAATTACTGATTCTTTTCCTTCTAATTTAAACTCTTATTAATTTATGCAATTAATTTACTCTTTTTAATTTTCAATTCATTTTGGAAAATTCAACAAATGAAATATTCGCTTAACTTTACATTTTATATTTTACTTACAGTAATTCAGTTTCTACCTATATATATATTTGACCTATATACTGTCCAATTTTACTTCATTTTAATAAACAATACGATCATGGAAGAGAAACTATCATGGAATTAATTACCTGATCAGCAACACCATTCAGTGTTTTGTTGATAACAGTCATACCGTATGTGAGCATTTCAACATCATTTGTATCCTTTTCATTAAGTACCCTCATCAAAGCGAACCAATCAGGTCGATCTATTCCCAAATAAAAATGTTAATTTCAAAGGCAAAAAAAAAAAAAGAATTGAATTTATTTTAAACAAACGGAACGGATGATAGAAGTATCGGCAAGAGAAATTTCAGCAGAAGGAAAAAAATACTACAGTATGCCATTATAAAATTATTATTCATCGGCAGTATTATGCTATAAATTTGCAGAAAAGAAGACATACTATTAGCTTTATCGATATTGGTGACAGCAGTCATTAGTAGAAATGCATTGTGATCTGTATATTCAATAAATACCAATAATAATTTCAATGCTGTTTTCACCACTAATCGATACTAAAATTAATTGAAATCATCAAATTGATTTAGTGAGGTGGAGAGTTGTCATTTTTGCATAAGCAAAAAAATTAGCATTAAATTAATACAAATCGAATAAAAGTTAATTTGCAACATTGTCGAATTTATGCTAATTTTTTGATTTTTGAATGACTGAACTTGATCACACTAAGAAAAGATTTAAATTTCATTTTTAAAAAAACAAATTAACCAGAAAGAATATGAGCCCATATTAATGAGCATATTAATTAATTAATATGAGCTCATATTAATATGAGCCCATTAATGAATGTTTTACTTTAAATCAATTCTCTTCATTACATTTGAATAACATTTAAAGACTTGCGAAAACTTTTTTGCCACTATTTGTTGCATTTAAAAAGCCAAAGCTGTCAATAAAACATGTGCGATGATAATTTATAGATAGAAATAATACAGAAATAATCGCTTTGTTCTTCCCAAAAAAGAAATCGAAAAAAAAAATTAAATTTTAATAAGTTTAATATAAAATATTTAATTAATGCTAATAAAATTAACCTGCCATTTTAATCTTTTCCCAAATATAAATGATATTAAAAAACGTTATTAATTAGCTAAATTATTTAATTGGCTGTCAATTAAATGAAACAAATTTATTTCAAACACAAAACTTTGTGCGTTTTTCAAAAACAAAAGAATTTTTTAAAAAAGAAAAATCGGGGAAATATTGAATGATCGGACAAAAATGACAAAATAAGCAAACATATCAAAATTGAAATGAATTCATTTCGGAATGTAACAATTGGCTAATTTTTATTTTCCATTTTAATTAATTGATTAGAAATGAATTAATTTAAAATAAAAATTAGAAAAATAAATGTATGAAAATAAAATGAATAAAAAATATAGTAATTATATAAATTATATAAGTGAAATATTAATTATATAAGTGAAATTTTAATTATATATATTAATATTAATTATTTAAGTGAAATTTTAATTACATATATTAATACTAACTATATAAGTGAAATTTTAATTATATATATTAATATTAATTATATAAGTGAAATTTTACCGGTGAGTCAAGCAATTCGTAAAGCCATTGGATTGTCTCAATATGAGCAATGATACCATTCATACCATCAACATACAACATTACTTGGCCCAATGCTATAATGATATGTACGTGTATTTTGAACTTAAGTTGCATTATTGAAATCTACTAGTTTATTCAAATCCAAAATATCTGGATAAGAAAAAAATAATCACAATCATGCATTATCATAATTTTATCATGAATATCATTCGTGATGAATTTATTATCATTTATATTAGTTCACTATGAAGTTTTCAAACAAAAGCAATCATTGCTTTAATGAGCAATTATTGAATATTGAATAATTGTTTTTAAATAAATATTAATATTTAAATAAAAAGTATTAATATTCAAATTAAAAAAAAAAGGTAATGTTAATTAATTAATTGCTTAGCGCATTAAATAAACGACTTGCCTCTAAGAATGTAATTTTGATGATTTTGATCAGCTTGCCTTCCAAGCTTAATCATACATTCTAGGCCACCGTTTTGTACGAATTCATGTACCAAATCCTTATCATCCTAAAAATAATTTTGTTGATCAACTAATAAGTTATCGATTAAATCACTAACATATTTCTTCATAAATTCTTCTTCCAAAAAAAAAGCTTTGCAAATTTCGGCTATTTTAAAAAATTGGAAGAAGAAAAGGAAATTTCAATATTACTTGAAAAATTTGCTTCAATGAGAAAAGAGCTCTTCGTTGATCACGCCCGTTCGAATTCAACAATTTATCTGCAAAACTATTACTACTCAATTTTTTCTCTTTTAAAAATTTCTTAAATAAGTTACTAAAAAAGAAAATCATTGAAAGAATATTTCTAGGACTAATTAATATTGGAAAATTGTTTTAAGACTAATTAATATTGAGAGAAAAAAAAGATTAATTTTTAAAATTCTCACCAATTATTGTTTTAACTCTAAGGCCTGTTTGCGTTCGTATCACCAAACTATTCCGCCTTCTACAAAAAGAAAAATTACTTGAAAGCAAAGCAAAAATGATTGAATATGATATAAAACTATTTTGAAGTAATTTTGCTTTTTTTGCAAAATTAAAAAAATTTTATTAAAATGCAAAATATAAGCCAAAAATGAATTCTTAAAATGGATATCAATAATTTTCGGATATTGTTTACAGCCATTTTAAAATTAATCATTTACACTTTTGCTTATTTAAAATGAATATAATGGAATAATTGTATACGATCAGAATTTTAATATGGCATGTTTTAACCTTGTTTATTTAAATTTCTTTTCAAATGAATCACTTCATCACTTATTAGTTAATTTTATTTTATACATGTGAAACTACTACATTGTAGAAAATGATATTATTTGATGGATAAAATTTTACTTCACATTTAAGTCGTTGTTTCATTCTATGTACGATTCTATAAAGTTGAAAGTCCTTTTTTTATGTATATATTTTGGATGGCTTGTACTTATCAAACCGCTAGATAGAGTCAAAAAGATTAATTAATTAAGTCAATTAAAAAAAAGTAGCATGCACAAAGAAGACAATAAATTTGCTACTTGAAATATAAAAAAATTTTTAAATCTTCTGAAACAAAAACCTTATAAGAGAATTCTCCGATAGCATCAAATCTTCATCAGCAAGACAATATGAATCACATGGTAAATCTAGGGCCTGAAGCCATTTGCCCGATATTTGTACATCTGGACTACTTTCTATCGTATCGCTCGAACTTTTACGGAAATCAGCTCCAAATCCGGAATCACTACTACGATCACGGCTACTACTATAATCTTTCGGTACAACCATTCTTGAGCTACCCACAATTGGGTAAGTTTTCCGTACAGATTTAATATCTGATTTTGAACATTGTTCAGATTTTTCTGTCTGCAATAAGTCAACAAGTACTTCCTCATAAGTTCTGGTAGGCTTTGGTGGTGGAACTGCGGCCATTCGAAAGATCTGTGAATTATCGGATTTCACAACGGTAGGTTTCTGAACTGGGACTGATAACGATCCGTTGGTTGGATAAAGGCGTGGAGCAACCAATCGTTTGCATGGTAAATCATCATCGATTGCAGTTTCACGAATTTGTGATGCAACCGGTGGTCCATCTACTGATGAACTAAACCATGGCTTCTTCGGTGATTCTTTTGTGGTTTTGCGTTTCAATGAATCACTTCCAATGATATTTTTCTGAATGGTTGCATTCCTTTCAAGTGTAGTATTTTCAGTGGTGTTAGGCCAGTCATTCATTGTAGAGCACGCTACCGTTAAGCGTCTTGGTCTAATTACTTTTAGTACTGACTTCGTTGGGTTTCCGATAATACCACACTTCGATCCTCCCTTAATATTACATTTCGGTACTTCCCATTTGATATCGACCGTTGAATTCCTCGCATTACTTGATGCTAATGATACATTTGATTTGTTTGTTGAAGGCAAGCTTTTCTCTATTTCTGTAGTTCGATGAACTGTGGTTGTTTTTTGCAATGGCGATATGGTATCCCAATAACCACGAGGCACTTCACTGTCACAATAAATGGGTCGTGCTATACATGTCGTCGTATTGACAGGTGAATTCAAATTAATTTCATGTAAAAATTTCTTCATCGAAATTTCAGACTCGCATTTGGACTTAATAATGTCATCTGAAGAGACATTTTGTGAATTTTGTCTGAAATCATCTGATAAAGTTTTGCATAGAGCTTTGGACGATGGTAGTATAGTTTTCGACATTCGTGGTAATGATGAAGAAGTAGTACTAGCATTACTGCATTTGAATTCTATAGAAGTATACGGATTCTCCTTCAACTGATACTGACGCAGAGGTTTTACAGCTGACGGTAATCGGATATTTGTAGAAGTATCAGAGTTAACAATACTAGTAGCAGTACCACAAGGACGATATGCATCAGCTTCAGCAACTGCAGGATTCTGAATTTCGGTTCTCAAGATAGGATTTCTCAAAGTTTGTGAAGGGATTGCAGAACGATGAGTGCTACTAGCGTAAGGTTCCAGAATACTTCGCCTTTTCCGGTCTAAGATTTCCGGCATTTCAGCTTCAACTGTTAATTATTGAATAGCGTAAAGCAATAGTGAAGCGCAGTGATTCAATTCGCTTTTCATTGTTGATATTTATCCTTATTTGAATAAATGGACTAGTATCATTTGAATTTGGTAATATGTAGATTTCAATGATAGATGATTCTCGCAATGAATACCATTAACTCAACAATAAATAGGAAGACATTAAATGTCACAAATAAATGTTGAAACGTGAAAAAACGTAAGAAGATAGTAGACGTAAGTAACAACATTCACCAAAATATAACTCATAGTAATTTCTATACAGAAGATTGGTTCTTTCCTCTCTCATTATTTAATTACTTTCCAGTGAAGCTGTCACCCCGAAATTCCTGTTCAAAGCATTTGGATGGATCATACTTTAAAAAATGAAGCGCTTAATCGGGATGATATAAAGATAAGTTAAACAAAAATATCAAATGAAGTGCAGAAAGAAAATTGCTATCAATTCGATTTTTACTCAAAATTATCATTCGTGTAGATTGACTGAGTTTAGGTAGAATTTGCACCAAAGAATTTCACTATCTGAACATCGCATCAATAGAATAAACTGAAATGTGGTATCCTTATCATCTTCGATCAACAAAAAGATGGAATGATACATTCATTCCATAGACTGAAAATATCAGTAAATTTTCAGCTAAACGGCGATTCAGGTAGATTGCTGAACATCTATCTATCAAAAGAACGATTATGAAATGCTGCAACAGCGTGAATCAGTAATCTACTTCAATTAATCAATTAGAGGGTTTAAGAAATGAATAGATGTTATGGAAAAACAAAAGCTTCCATATTAAGCGAAAGCTTCAATATCCGATACTTCGAAATGATATGATTAGATTCAAAAAAGTTTAAAAAATGCTAATCTCAAAATGAGAAATATCAAAATACGATGAAAAAAATAGATAAGAAAAATAAAATAATGAAATAATAGCAATGATAATGAGAATATGACAATTATCGGTTATATCAGAGAACTTCAAATCGAGGGACGAAATGATGAAGTATACGTAGTTTTGATTACTCAGTGATAAAACTAACTGATAAAACAGAATGATGTAATCTACAATGAAATAGGCCAAAATATTGGAAAATTAAATTGGCCTAATTAAGAGATAATGAAATGTATAAGTCCTAATTGAATTAAAAACTTTTAATACAATTTTTTACACTATACAGATTAATGAATGAAATAGATAACAACGATGATTATCAAAATGATTATCATCTGCTTTAAGGAATTCGTTTTCAACGAACAAAAGAAAACAAAACAAAAGAAAACAAACGAATGGATTGTGAAATTTTTTTGTTTTAACAAATGGATAAATTACCAGTTGGAAAAAAAAGTGATGTAGAAAAGGTATTTGTAAAGATGAATGAAATATAAGAGGGTGTATGCAATAACTGCAGAAAATTTCGTTCGAAAAATAAACAATGATAGGATACGATAGAATAAGATAGGATAGGATAGAATAGGATAGGATAGGATAGGATAGAATAGGATAGGATAGGATAGGATAGAATAGGTTAGGATAGGATAGAATAGAATAGGATAGGATAGAATAGGATAGGATAGGATAGGATATGATAATTGAACAATTAATAATGGTGGTAAATTTAGTTGTAGAATATTTCAGGGATAGTATTTCTGTTTCTTTATTACAGTAATATCAATGAAGAGAGATTGAAAAAAACGAAGTGTATCCAATTAAAATTAAAATAATATTTTGAAATTGAAATTATCATTGGTGATAATTGTGATAAGAATTTATTTTGAGCAATAAGTAGAAATGTTTTAGAGGTGGCGGTGGTAATGGAATGCTATCGATTAAAAGGATATTTAGAGCTGATAAATGAATAATTAATATAAGTGAAAAATTTTTACTAAAGGAATAAATGAAATTACTCAAAAAGAAAATAAGCAGTAAATAATTTGTAAAACCGGTAATGATGGATGACAATCAAATGATAACAAATTACACATTTATCATGATAATATTTAATTTTAATTAATTTCAACTTATCAAAATTATCAGATCACATCGATGAACTATTTGGCTATAGTAAATAATTAGAAAGGTTTGAGTAAAATTATGTGAATAATATCGAAAAGAAAATTAGATGAAAATAGAAAATAATGGGATGAAATAGATAAAGGGTGATATAGTCTCGTATTGAATACTATAAACTGGACGAAAGAGATTGAAGAAATGTGAAATTTTTGTTATTATTATAGTATTGCATTCAGGAAACAGAATTACCAAAATGACATCCCGCTGTTTGCCGATGAAAGATCGGATTGAGGACAGATCGATAAAAGAGCGGTGAAGAGATGTCAAAAGCGGTGAAATAGAATGACATAAGAAGAGAAATGTAATGAGAATTGTTCCCAACTGATCATCACCATCATCATCATTAAACTATCATTCTACCACTAAATAATATCACTTGTTTGATATTGCATGTACTATTCGCAGGCGATACTATCATCAAATTCAGTGATAATTTTGGGTATTCGCTATTTTCTCTTCTTCATTCATTCATTCGTCATAAATTGTGTCATCGCTAACTTATGTTATCAATTAATCTTATCATCTCTTATCTACCTATCTTTTCTTTCAATTGATTCTATGTGTAACATTCTTCTTATGATGTAACTGAAATAATTGGAATTTGAATTTGGAATTGAATCGAAATTGGAATGAAATTTAATTTTTCATGCAATCAAATTCAAGAATTTCTTCAATGAAAAAGCTTATCAGATATAATTTAATCAGTCACAAATTTATGAAGATATAACGAATCTCTAACTGATCAAAATATTACTTATTTAATTTCTGTTTTTAAGAGGAAGAGAAAGAGCAGAAAAACTTACGGATCAGCTTTAAGAATTTCAAGTTCATCCTCCTGTTCCATGAGTGACATTTCAGAATCCAAATATGAACCATAATCACCAACGCTACCTTCATATTTGTATATTTGTAATGCGGCATTGTTCGGCTGTAATTATTCAAATTTATTAATTGCCGGACAATTAATTAAGACAACTACACTCGAATTTGAAGTATCATGTAGTAGCAAACAATCAAAGCACAAATATACAAAATTATTTTAGCTAAGAAATTTTTCTGTTCTACCTTAATTATCTATGTTATGCATAATAAAATTGATAAACTATTTTAAGGATCAAAAAATCAATACTAATTGTTTTATTCTTCATTAGCATACTTAAATGTAATCCATTCATTCAATAATTAATTAATCAGAGTTATTTTTAATATTTTAGCAAAATTTCTGTTCACTCTTTTTTAAATCTTAGCTTATTTCACTTTCTGCTTTCAATTAATGTTTCTTCTTCCTTTCGATCAATGATTGCTTATCAGCTATTAATTTTTACTTATCATTTATTGATTGAATTACTAATCAAACGTAAGCAATAAAATGAAAACGAAAATATTAAATTAAAACCTTATGTGGTGCTCGAAGTGTACGAATAACTTCCGGTAATTGTTCACCGATCGGTTGATGAAGCATAAAGTTGTACATTATAGGACGATTTGGTTCCAAATGTGAACATGATGTTGTTGTAAATGGATCCGAATCATCCACATATTGAACACGACAATTCAGCCTATCAACCATGACCATTCTAAATGATTTTATTCAATTAATTCACTTCATTATTTTTCAAATAAATGAAAATTATTTATTCAGGAAATACCTACAAATAAACCGCCGTACTTTTCGTATTCACAATTGTTCTATCAGTTTGCTTAATTTTGTATCATTTTTTTAAATGCATTAAAAAAAATATGACAAACTTTTAAATCTTTCAGGAATAATAATTTTCGAAAGATTGCAAACGGCGCAAATGCGCCTAAATCAAATGTCAAATACAATGGCAATTCAGGAAATATCTGAAATGTATGATAATATGAATTCAAATGGTATAAAACAAATAAAAATTTATTTACAGCGAAAAAAAGAAAAACAAATTAAAATTTCAACAATACCAAATACCAATACAATTAAAATTTCACAACGTTCATAAACTTATGAGTGACAGCCATATTTTCATTTGTTATTTTCAAAATGAATAAACGGAATGGTATATGGTGCAAAAATAATAATCACTTAGTTCATTTATTACTCATAACAATGCTATAGAAATACCGTATTTTTAAGAGAAATTTCAAGATTTCAAAATTTTTAATTTTTTTTAAAATAATATCCATCAGGTAAAAAAGCATATGTACTGTGGAGAAAATAAATAGTTGGATCGAAAATAATTAGCTGTCAATAATTAATAATCTGGCAAAAAAAACTAATATATTATAATTAAATCAACGAAATTATAATCTTTGTGAGTAAGCATCGGTAAAGTTGAAATAATTTTTTAAAATTACCAAAAATAATTTTCATAAAGTTCTGAGAAAGTAAACATATAATTTGCAATAAAAAAAAGAAACTTAAATTACAGCTGAAAATTTTCTTTAACTATTTAATGGTAGCAATCAGTGGAGTCTATATTTAGAGCTCTTTCCAGTCTTTTAAAAATTACTGATTAATTAGTTTTCCTTTTATTTTCGAAAAATTGAAAATTGTGGTTGATTACGGAACGCTTTTCAATAGGGACCGAAAGAGAAGGGGGGAGAGAGAGAGAGAGAGAAAGAGTAAAAAAATAGAGAGGAAAAACAATCTGAAATTAGGAAAAGAAAAGATCATGAAAGTAGTAAATTCATGAAGGAATAATTTTTGTCATTTAGCAATCGAAATTTCAGTGATTTAAAAAGCAATTAGAAAAAGTGTCAAAAATCATTATTCAAATTAATAATTGATGAAAGGTGTTGAGAGATAAAGAAATGGCAAATTTGAAGAGAATGTGATACGTATCATCCATATCACACATCAATGATAACACGATTCGTTCGTTCATTTGTATTTCTTTTCATTTTTCAACTCAATCATAT